GGGGGGTATTAAGTTCCTAGGAAAAAATAAAACAAAATTAACCTATTATCATTTCTTAAACAAACCTAAAAAGTAACGTGTAATAGAAAGTGGATCGGGTTTTACTGATGCATGCAATTGTTTGTCTGTTATTGTTTTTTTATTTAAATATTCGAAAATACCATCTTTGTATTGTGTCGTTTTGCTTGAAGAAGGGAAAGCAAATTAACACTAAGTTTTATAATAATCATTATCTTTCAACGGCGATTATTTACGCAAGGAGTTGAATTGTTCTTAAATGTTTAGATATATCGGTAAAATTATTGCTTTTTTTAACCATTACAGAACGAAGAATTAATTTTGGACTTTGGTGAAGAAGCTGTGAAGGAATTGGTGAGTATTGTAGACTCTAATTTAGCCAGATAGACTAGATGATTTTTTGCATATCTTAATTAAAGAAAATATATACAGGACAATATGCTGCATTTTTGTCTTTTGGCAAAAACTAACAAGTGATGAAAAATTCCTTATATACCATCATACACGGATCATTTGTTTTGTGTAAGAGAGTAAACGTTATCAATTAAAACTATAAAATTTATATTGAATGATCAGAGAGAGAGAGAGAGAGATAGAGAACTCCAAGAAAGTGTTTTGTTGCTTTTTTTTCCAGAAATCAAAGAAAGAGATACTAAAATTCGAAAAAAGCTGGATCGAGATGGTTGAAGAAGAGGAAATGCGACAGGTAATACAAGGCTTAATGAATGCATTTGATTTTTGATTTACTGAATATATTATTAGAGTACTGGACCTCTGTTACTGTTTTTTTTTCCGCCATTGAGCAAATTTCGAATTTATTCAATCCTATGAAATTTACCTCAGAAAAATAAGTATATTTCATCTTTGGTATAATTGTTGTATATGATGTCTTTCATACATGTAGTGCACGTTTCTCTATTCAGGAAAACTTATCAAAGGTGGACTCCGAGTTAAACTGTTAAAAGCCATGGCTCCACAGATTAAGTTCAAACGGGAAATGCAGGAAGAACTTAAGGTACTATATAGACTAATAGAAAGTTGCAAAATGAATTTAACTTTTTCTTTTTAGATCAATTTGATAAATGCTCCAATTGTATTCCAGAAAGTAGCCCCTAAAAAGATTCTAAGATTCAGAAGCAGATTTCTAGCTATAGATAGGGCAAGAAAAATGTGACAGCCAATTAACCAAGAAGTAATGGTAAAATTTTTATGTGTATATGCTTTTTTTACCTAATTATTCTATAATAATTTTGTGACTAGATGTCTTTTATATTAAAAGTTGAATTTGTCTTGATATAGTTAATTCTTTATACAGACAGTTTGGACTAAAAGAAATATGGAGAAAATCAAAATCCAAAGACAAAAGAAGATTATAATCGACTTGTTCTTTACGAGCAACCCATCACTTGTGCAACGATGCAAAGTCATCCCAGGGGTAGGCGACCACGACGCAGTCTTGATTGACTCCTTAATCCAGCCGCTAAGAAGTAAACCGGCCCGTCGAGAAATATACTCATGGGATAAGGCAGATATGACATCTTTGCGAAGAGACATCAACAACTTTGTACAAGACTTTATCACCAGACCTTTCACTTCTGTTGACACTCTCTGGGAACTCTTTAGAGACTCCACACTTAGCATCATGAACCGACATGTTCCTCATAAGCTCACACGATCCAGGACATCAAACCCTTGGATCAATACAGCTAGCAGACGTTTATCACGCAGGAAACTACGTGCATTCCACAAAGCCAAGGCAACAAAGAAGCAGTGTGACCAGCAAAGGTACCTGTCTCTTAAATCAGAATGCCAGCGCACTATTCGTCTTGCCTATCAACAATACATGAATGACATTATCACCCCCAGTGCCTCAGAAAATCCCAAGAAATTCTGGTCATTTATTAAGAGCAAAAAACAAGAAGCCTCTGGTGTAGCACCATTACGGAATACGGACGGGCTCATAACCAGCGACCCACAAGCCAAGGCGAATATATTAAACGAACAGTTTAAATCCGTATTTACAACGGAGGACACTAGCCGAGCTCCAGACAAGGGTCCCAGCCCATTCCTAACAATGGACAGCACAATCATCAATCCACGTGGTGTGTACAAGCTATTAAGTAACTTACAACCACACAAGGCTACAGGACCAGATGCCATTTCAGCACGTTTTCTGAAGGAATTGGCAGAGGAGATTACACCTGCATTGACCTTTCTATTCCAAACGTCTTTGAATTGTGGATGTGTACCAGATGACTGGAAGATGGCCCATGTAGTCCCCATCTTTAAGAAAGGCGACAAGAGTGCAGCGGCAAATTATCGTCCTGTATCACTTACAGCAATTTGCTCCAAGATCCTGGAACACATTCTCCATTCTAACATCATGGACCACTTTGAAAGGAACTCTATCCTTACACCAGCACAGCACGGATTTCGTAGTAAGCGATCATGTGAGACTCAACTTATTGCCACAGTACAAGATCTTGCTAGTAGCCTATCGAATGGAAACCAGATTGACGTCATCTTACTGGATTTCGCCAAAGCATTCGATAAGGTACCACACCAACGTCTCCTCCACAAACTGAATTATTATGGGATTCGTGGCTGCACTCTACAATGGATAGAAAGTTTCTTATCAGACAGAAAACAGCGAGTATTGGTTGAAGGGATGTCCTCCAACATAGCAGACGTGAACTCCGGAGTACCTCAAGGCACAGTAATGGGTCCCCTATTATTTCTTGCCTACATCAATGACCTCCCGGAGGTGGTAACATCAAATGTTAAATTATTTGCAGACGACTGCCTCATTTACAGGACAATTCAATCAATCAATGACACAGTCCAACTCCAACAGGACTTATGTGCACTTGAGAAATGGGAAAAGGACTGGCAGATGACCTTTCACCCTCAAAAGTGTACCATTATCCACATATCTAAGAAACGCCAACCAATTAAAGAATCATACCAACTGCATAACCATACCCTGGAAGATGTCCCAAGTGGTAAATACCTTGGTATCACAATTAGCAAAGATCTTTCATGGCGCGAGCATATTAACTCAACTTCTGCCAAGGCCACGAGAACAATTGGATTTTTAAGAAGGAACCTCAGAAGTTGCCCACAGGCTATCAGAAGCAAGGCATACACTACGCTAGTACGTCCAGTATTGGAGTACGCGTCAGTGGTTTGGGATCCTTTCCAACATCATTTAATCCAACATCTAGAAGATGCTCAGCGCCGGGCAGCAAGGTTCGCCACAGGTGATTACTCATCAAGGGACCCAGGAAGTGTGACCACCATGCTATACCAACTCGGCTGGGAACCACTGGAACATCGGAGGGCCCGGAACCGAGTGATCATGTTCTACAAGATCTACCATCACATTGTGGAAGTTCCGGTACATCATGTGCTACATGTCACCAATAGCAGAACCCGTGGTTCTATGGCAAACAAAATCCGCCAAATCAGCACCAGGGTTGATGTCTACAAATACTCATTCATACCAGCAACTATCATAGCATGGAACAATATACCAGCCACAATTAGGAATTCACCATCAGTGGACACCTTCAGACATGCAATACAGTCCATCAGCGTGTCTGATATTCTACACCACTAAATTGTCCACTTTTAAATTTTTATCCCTTTTAATACGGTGTACATAGATTTTTAGCTGTTCACTACGGAATTACTGGAGTTTTAACACTCAAATTGAGTTTACTCCATCAAGGGAAGAAGAAGAAGAAATGCTGAAAGAGCTTAAGGTGCGAAATATTTTAGTTTTTGGTTGCAGTGTTTCAGGAACTAAAAAATGAGGACAATTCACAATGAAAAAATGGTAAACTGTTAATTTCTAATAAATTGTGATTTTCAGGTAGTGGCATCCAGAGATGTAGAGAGAAGAAAGGCAATAATGGAAAGAGGACAAACCACATGGAAGGAGATTCACAAAGAACTGATGGTTATTAAGTTTTCATGTGCATATTCTTTATATTAAATTATACATTTTTTTTGTGAAATGTGTCTTTTGATTATGTTCTCAATTTCATTTTCCCTGTTTATTTCACGGTTTTAAAAATTAAGAAAATTAAAAATTAGCAAATGGTTAAGACATCAGTAATTAAAAAAAATAAATTTCAGGCAATGACATCCAGAGATGTAGAGTGTAGAAAGGCAATAATGGAGAGCATGGAAACATCGAGGAGAGTGGTTCACAGACAGCTGATGGTAAGTTTTTACGTCCTTCATTTATCTTTTGTGAATGTATTGTTATGTCCCTTGATTATTTTTTTTTTATCTAACATTAACTTCTTTCTCTAAAGTTGAACTTTTTAAATTCTATCAAATTTTTAAACAGACAGTTTTGACCAAAAGAAATTTAGAGGAAAAACAGCTCCAAATGCAAAAGACGATGCCAGAGGTGCTTAAAGAACTTAAGGTAAATTTGCAAATTTTGGCAGTTATAACTAGTGTTTATGTGTGTAAAATACTTACCGGGTAACCTGTGAAAAAAGTGGAATCTTTCAAGATTTTGAATGTAGAAAAAATCACAGTGAACAAAATTGTAAATTCTCCATAATTTCTGATATATTTTGATATTTAGATTGTGGCCTCCAGAAATGTTGAAAAGAAAGCAATGATTGAAAAAAGACAAACAATGTGGACAGGAATTCACAAAGAACTCATGGTAAATTTTCTTGTGAATATCCTTCATTTACCTACATGTAATTACATGTATGTATACAATTGAACTTCGATATCTCGAACACTGATACATGTATCTCAAATACCATGGATATGTTGAAGTGATTTGGAAGTCCCAACCACTTATTCTTTAAGTATTTTACCCCTTCTATCTCAAATCCTCGGATACCTCAAAGTTTTTTTTCCGAGTTCCATTGAATTCGAGATTACAAGGTTTGACTGTATATACAATTATACATAATATATTCCTGTGTATTCTAAAATTTAATATTCTGATCTTTGATTTTCAGACTTTAATTTGTCTTAATTTACTGTTATTCTTATGCAGGCAGCTTGGGCCAGTAGAGAACTCAGAAATAAACAGATCTTGCAACAAAAACAATTCATACTTGAAATAATGAAAGAACTTGAGGTGAATGTTCCCAAAAATTGCAATTTTAACAAAAATTCCTTAAGTGTTTGTATCACCCAAGCTTTTATGGACAAAAGTCAATGCTGTACTGTATATTTGAGAAGGGATGGATTTTTATGCACACATTCTAAATTTTTTATATAGGTATATGTAACTATAGACACCAGGACAAACATTAAGATGGAAAAATAGAAGAAAAGGTTGAGAATGTTTTTAGGGATGAAAGTCACATCTTTCATTCAAATATGATTTTCTTTTTTTTAAAAAAAAAAATCTTATACATCTAAAAAGAATGTCTGCTTAATTTCCATAATATTGACCTAAAATAAAAAATTTAAAAAGTCTAATATTGTTGTAAAATACCTTGATGAAAGGTTCCATGTTTTTCAGAAAACCAGCAAACCAGACACAGTAATGCCTGAAGAGGAACAAGATTTATTTGTTCCAAGAAAATTATTCCTCTTCAGTGTGGAAACTTTTAAAAATTTTCCACAGGTAAAAATTTAATATGACGACTATTTTTTTTTTTAAACATTTACAAATATTTCCTATGCAAAAGAATTCCATTATATCGTTTTAAAATGTTTTACAAATTTTATGCATATATATGTGCCATCTATGGGAGATGATAATTATTCAATATTCTTTCCGAATTGAAATCTGAAATCGAGGGTCAAAAATATAGAATCACACATTTTTTTGGTCAAAAAAAGTGCTGAAGTGCTTTACAGAATAATTTCTTCCTTATTAGGATGTTGAGAGTGTGATTTGCTGCAAGAGAACACTACATGTACCTAAGGATGCTTCCAAATAGATAATGACCAATCATGGCTTTGCTGTTCATGAGAAGAAGATTTTTCCGTTAAACTCCTATGTAAAGCTTAATAGCTCATCCACTGTGGTCCCACCCTACTCCCAAGGGGTAATGATTTGAACAAACTTGAATTTAAACTACCTGAGAATGTTTCCATATAAACATGACCAATCAAAGCTTTGTTGTTCTTGAGAACAAGTTTCTTAAAGGGGCCTGGACACAGTTGCATTGTTTACATTTTAATTTTCATTTCTTTTTCAAAAAATAAAACCAGTTGAATGAATTGAACTTACATATGAATATTATTAGAATTTAATGACAACAACATTCTTCTTTACATCACGTCAAACATCTGTTTTTGTAAACAGGACACGAGCTCTGTTATTGTTTATGTTTTACTTTCACCAGGTTTGTTCAATTTGTTAAACTCTGCACACATCACTGAGCACGGACTGACAACAATGGTGAGTTGGTTTTGCTTTCTCACATTTTTACTCTGAATTTTCTGGATTATAGCTTTAATATTTTTCATTAATACACAACACAATTTCTACTTTTCTTAAATATAAGGATAAAGTTTACTTTGTGAAAATGCAAGGATGTGTCAATCAAATGCGTCCCGAAATTCATAGCTTCAATAATTTCCAGATTAAAGAGGATTCTGAACAGACTTTTATTACATTTCCATGTGAAATGCTATAGCAACATATAAATCATGATGTTATATAGAAAATTTGATAAAATATTAACTTCAAATCTGTGTCCAGGCCCCTTTAAAGTTTTTTCCTATATAGTCCTATGTAAAACTTTGATCGTCCATGTGGCCCCACCCTACCCCCGAGGGTCATGATTTGAACAAACTAGAATCTACACCGAGGATGCTACCAAATAAATATGACCAATTATAGCTATGTTGTTCTTGAGAACAAGATTTTTAAAGATTTTCCCTATATATTCCTATGTATAACTTTGCTCGTCCATTGTGGTCCCACCCTACCCTGGGGGTCATGATTTGAACAAATCTGAATTTACACTACCTGAGGATGCTTCCAATTAAATATGAACAATCATGGCTTTGCTGTTCTTGGGAAGATTTTTCCTATATATTCCTATGTAAAAAATTGTTCGTCTATTGTGGCCCCACCCTACCCCCGGGGGTCAAGATTTGAATAAATCTGAATCTTCACTACCTGATGATGCTTCAATATAAATATGACCAATCATGTCTTTGATGTTCTTGAGAAGAAGATTTTTTAAAAAAAATCCTATGTATTCCTATATAAAACTTTGCTCATCCATTGTGGCCCAACCCAACCCCGGGGTCATGATTTGAACAAATCTGAATATACATTCCCTGAGGATGCTTCCATATAAAAATGACCAATCTTGGCTTTGCTGTTCTTGAGAAGAAGACTTTTAAAGATTTTTCCTATATATGCCTATGTAAAACTTTGCTCATCCATTGTGGCCCCACCCTACCCCAAGGGGTCATGATTTGAAGAAACTAGAATCTACACTACCTGAGGATGATTCCACTTAAGTTTCATCTTTCCTGGCTTAGTGGTACATGAGAAGAAGATTTTTAAAAGATGCCATTAATTTTTCAACAATTTGTAATTATTTCCCCTTGAAAGAGGGCGTGGTCCTTCATTTGAACAAACTTGAATTCCCTTCACCCAAGGATACTTTGTGCCAAGTTTGGTTGAAAGTGGCCCAGTGGCTCTGGTGAAGAAGATGAAGATGTGAAAAGTTTACAACAACCACAACAAATGACAAATTTTGATCAGAAAAGCTCACTTGAGCCTTCGGCTCAGGTGAGCTAAAAAATTTATATTTTTAGTAACCATGGCAACAACAAATTCAGCTGAATAATCAATTTCCTCCAAAATGCAAGACATATCCACTGTAACTTAACATATCTTAAAAGACGAAGATTACAAATTAAATTGATTAACAACAGTCAATGCATTTGATTAAATGCCATGTTTAAAAATCTTAATGAGTGTACAAAAAATTAAACTTCAAAGTTATATCTAAACTAGAAAAAAAGCAAACAGAATTTACATCATTGCATATATTTTATATATGAGAAAGAACTTTGTTCATGTATTGTCAAAAGTAGCTCTTTTGGTTTGTGTATTCAACAAGCCAGCATGTTACTGGAGAGGGGGAGGGGGGGGGGGAGTAGATTCTTTTAGAGTTTTCTGTATGATTATCCCAATCATCTCCATAGAAACTATAAATAATTCATTATTAATTGTTTGGATTTCTCTCATGATGGTGAGACTTTCGTTTCCATTTCAGTCCAAGATTTTCCTTCATTTTCAAGTTACTGGGGTGATTATAACCAAAGAAAACTACACCATGAAGCAGCAAAGGCATGTGTGTTTCTGAAAAAAAAATTGGAATTTACATGTAAAACAAAACAACAATATAACTCAATTAATGCACATAACAATACACCTCATTTAATGCTTAACAGATCCATAGTGGTCTTGGTATTAATAAGAACTGTGTTGTCTTTCCCAAAGGCTTGCAAATGAATAAATCATGAAGAGATGAGCATACGGGGTTTATGTCTCTCAGTTGATTTGATATCCAAGAGCATGCTCTATGTATGAATCTATACTTATAAATTAATAAATTTTGCAAATAAACTCCGAAACGGATGCACCAGAGTTTTTACTTACTCCTCTGAGAATACACTAGATACAATATGATGTCCATAAACTATATTTAGATTTCACTGGCATTGTAAGTATCGTATGTATGAATCTATACTTATAAATTAATAAATTTTGCAAATAAACTCCGAAACGGATGCACCAGAGTTTGTACTTACTCCTCTGAGAATACACTAGATACAATATGATGTCCGTAAACTATATTTAGATTTCACTGGCATTGTAAGTATCGTACATTAAATTAAAAGTCTACTTTTATTTTCTATAAACAGCCATGAAATAGCAAAAACGTGAGTACGGTGGCGTTTCCGGTTGGCGGATCTAAGTTTCTGGCAATTTTCAGTGAAACTGACAACAATCAATCGTTTATTTATTTCATAAATGTCATCACTGAATTATTCAATCAAAACTTGATTTAAATGACATAAAAGAAATAAGTTGTGATAACAGATTAAAAAGGGAAATGTGCAAATTATTTTTGTCATTCACCGATCTTAATATTGACGGAAGCTTCTAGAACATCATATAGCATCGAGCCCAATGTTAAAAAAAACGAGATGATTATAGCTGCAGGAACATAAAAAAGCTGATGTCATTGTGTGAATGGTCATTGAAATAATGGTAAATCATTGATAACACTATAGGTTGTGAATACATTTATATATCGAAAGACTATTACATATATGTAGTAGGTTTTCCTAATAAATTTATCGGTAAAATGTGTTATATATTTCTCACTGTGAGAGCATCGTGGCAACGAACCCGAAGTACAATTTCTACTTCGTAATAAAATTGCTTACATGAAAAGAGAAAATTTATGAATAAGATATTGCTCAAATACAATTAAAGCTGTAAAATTTTGTGCTTTAATCAATACATTTCAGTTTTTTTTCTTAATACAGTCTTTTGTATCAAATACTCGGCCTAATCATAGGGCGTTAAAAGCTAATTTTTACACGGGTACTTGCGTCTTGGTGTATATATATGTATGTACCTTATTGATATGTAAAAAAGGTAAAGTGCATTTTTTACACATCAAAAAGGTACATACATATTTATATACCAAGACCCGAGTACCTATGAATTTTTAACACCCCCCCCCCCCCCCAATAAAAAAAAAAACCACTCAGTAAAATGTGCATATTCGCTGCTTTTATCCTTGACGGAAATGAAATAAGAGCATCTGAAGTACAATATCCACAACATAGTATAACAGATTTCACAATAAACATCAATTAATGAAATTGTTATTTTTTCAAGTCTTTACAAAAAGGGTTGGGGGAGGGGGTGGAGATGCACATGCGGGACTTTGAACAAAGTATTTCTTCCTGCTATAAGCCTGTAGGCTGTCAGTTGAAACTACAATATATTTTCTGTCGGTAGTGGTATAAATTCAATTACCCGCGCTTGCGCGGGATTTCATCTAGTAATTTCTAAAATGAGGTAATTTATTGACAAACGAGTTGATGAAACAAGAATATCAACAGTCTCATTTAAAGTCATCATTTTATAAGTTCTATGGTTGATACAATGACCTTGTCAGCAAATACAATCTATGATTAAGTCATACGCTGACTGACGTTTTTCATATTAATTGTTAGGCAATTTTTTACACATTGAATTGTTGACAGATTTTTCCTTTTGTTTACTGATCATGACAGGTGTGACCGGTTGGCAGGGGATGCTCACTCCTCCATGGCACCTGATCCCACCTCTGATGTTTTTGGAGGTCTGTGTATGGTCTGCTCCTGATGTGTATTGTTTTAATGGACTTTAAGCTTAAATATTGTTCGTTATCTCCATATTTCACTTAAAGAAAACATTTTGTACAATCCTGTGCCAACATGTAAAATACATTTTTTCATTAAAGGTTTCACTTATGAAAACAGTGGCCCATGGGTTACAACGCTCACCTGAGTCAATATGGCTCTATTGTTCTTCATGAGCAGATTTCTTCTATATATTCATATGTAAAGCTTTGATTGTCTGTTCTAGGCATACCCTACCCCAGGTGCCATGTTTTGAAATTAAATCTAAACTTTCTAAGGATGTTTCTATATTCATATAACTATTCATGGCTTTCCTGTTCTTGAAAACGGAATTTTAAGGATGTCTGCCACCCTACCCCGGGGGTCATGATTTGAACAAACTTGAATCTACACTATCTGAGGATGCTTCCATATCAGTATGACTAATCATTGCTTTGTTGTTCTTGAGAAGAAGATTTTTAAAGATTTTTCCTATATATGTTATTTTGTAAAACTTCGATCCCCCGTTATGGCCCCACCCTACTATTGGAGGATGCCTTGAACAAACTTGAATCTACACTACCTGAGGATGATTCCATATCAATATGACTAACTGTGGCTTTGTTGTTCTTCAGAAGATTTTTAAAGATTTTTCCTATATATTCCTATGTAAAACTTTGATCCCCCATTGTGGCCCCACCCTATCCCCAGGGGTCATGATTTGAACAAACTTTAATCTACACTACCTGAGGATGATTCCATATCAATATGACTAATTGTGGCTTTGTATTTCTTGAGAAGAAGATTTTTAAAGAATTTTCCTATATATTCCTATGTAAAACTTTGATCCCCCATTGTGGCCCCACCCTACCCCTGGGTTATGATTTGAAGAAACTTGAATCTACACTATGTAATGAAGGTTTCACATAAGTTTCAACTTTTCTGGCCCAATGGTTCTTGAGAAGAAGATTTTTAAAAGATGACACCAAATTTTCACCAATTCTTAATTATCTCCCCTTAGAAGAGGGCATGGTCCTTCATTTGAACAAACCTGAACCCCCTTCACCCAAGAATGCTTTGTGGCAAGTTTGGTTGAAATTGGCCCAGTGGTTCTGGAGAAGTCAAAATTGTGAAAAGTTTACAGACAGAACAGACTACAGACAAATGTCACTTGAGCTTTCAGCTCAGGTGAGCTAATAAAAAGATGTGATTATCCTTACAATTCTTTGTTTACAAAATCTCGGTATAAAAGTACATGTATCTAGAGGGATGTTAAACAACAAACAAACAAAATAAAAGTACATGTACATTACCAGTTTTCAATTACTGACAAAATGATGATTACCACTACTACTCTCTCCACTGTATCAGTTATATGAGCTCAGCTTGTGGATAAGAGATAAGTCACCATGACATGAGTAACAATAACAATACATACCATTTACTTGGTTTATAAACTCTATCCATCTATTTATATAGTTAACTTGGTCACTTCGGGACATGACTGTTGGATTTGCTCCATGTTTAAAACAGGTCTGAAATTTGAAATGGAAAAAAAAAGTTATCCTCTTTGTTAACCATGAATTAAGCATTCTTTATCAGTATGCAAAGAACGAGCAAGGGCCACTTAGGGCCTTTTTTGGCCCTGTGAGTTTCTGAAAAATAGAAACTGCTCAGTTTTGGTTGACAATACAGTATTTATCACTTGGACCCTTGGTGACCGTGTATCTATTGAACATGACGTAATTTTCTGTATAGTCAATGCATTATGACGTCATGAAATGCATCATTTTTACCATATCCTATAAATTCCTTTAAAAATGGTCAAAAGTTGGAGTATTTTTTCAATCTTTCATATAGAGTACAACCTCTGTTCCAAAAAATGCAATTACATATTGAAAGATCTTATTCTGAAGATCATAAGACATGTTTTAATTTTTGGATCGAGGGCTGTGCTCATATTCTAATTCTTGTGGAACATAGTCAAATATGCCTGTTTTCGGCAAAATTCAAGAACATTGCATTTTCACAAAGCCTGTTTTCCTATAACTGAATTTTTAAAAAGAAATTTTGTTATAGGAAATGAGAGCGCTAAGTCTCTACTTTATTTTGATATATGAAATGGGACAGAGGGTGATAGTCAATTAATTGATACAAGTACAGGGCCATTTTATGCATAAAATGAACCTAGCTCTTTCTTTCTAAAAAAATAATTTGTTTTTGCCAGGGTTTGTAACAATCACTCCTCCTAGAGTGCAGATGCAGTAAAAAATATTTAAATCTACTCAACACATTGAGTTCTGGTGGATGTGAAATTCAACAGGAAAACTGCTGCTTGAAGAAATAAGTAAGATGTGTTTGATTAAGACAGATGCCCCAATCTGACATGAGTGTGTTCAGGGTATATCAGATCTGATGAGAAAATCTGTTGCTCTTCTATCTTTCAGCCATTTTTGTAAAATTGTTTTCAAATAACATTTATTTCATACCCTGGTAAGCAAATCTTTTTTTATTATTGTACATGCAGTTATGAATTTAAGGGTTAAAAAATCAGGCAATAAACTACCTTGACATACAGTGTTTTGAAATACAAAGTAAATGATTAATTTAAAAAAAAAAGTGAATTAATAATAAAAGAATATTTTACAATTTTAATTTTTTTGCAGATTTGTTCCATCCGCAAAATACTGCAAAAATTGATCAACGCAGGAAATACCCGTTATGCGGTATGCCCCCATATCTTGGATCTTGGTGAATAAAAATGAATAAAGAGCCACATGAAAAAAAAACCCTATCACTGATTACAGTTTTACAACCAATACCAAATGCAAAAGCAATATTCTGAAATAATTATGACCATACAGTCAAGTTCTTCTGTGTACATTCACCATTACACAATTAAGACTTACTTGATTATGTCCAATAAATTCATAACTTATAAATCTTACCCATTTCAACTCAGAATCTGTCAATGCTGATGCTGTACTCTTTGCAAGAGCTTTATCAATGAAGAATTGAATTTGATTATCTCTTGTCACATTCTTGATGCGGAGTTCATTACAGTGTGCTAGATGCATCTAGAAGAAATACACAATACATGTACTTTTTGAATGATACCTAAAACAAAGAGTATAGTAATGTACATTTATTTCTTATTTTTGTCGGCCACAGTAGAATAATAAACATTATTAATGGCTTTAACAGTCACCTGAGTATAATACAACACCATAGAGGATTCAAAAAAGTATGAAATAAAACAAAATAATCTGAAAGATGAAGCCATATTGCCCAAAAGCAAGAGAAGTGGGATGGTCAGGGATCAACAAAATAATTAGTCTAGTACTCAGTAACAAATGCTAAAGTACCAGTAGATCTATTTATTTGCCTGTACTTGCTCCCATCTGCTATCACCATGCAGACTAAACAAAATTATAGTGCTGCACATTACTAATAAACCACCTCATTAATTCAAATTTCATAATTTTGGAAGAGGCATCCTTGCTCATCATAACTATGCATTTAGTTTGTCCACCTAATATCCTGGGACAGAAGTTTTTAACAAGAGGCCCATGGGCTACATTGCTCACCTAAGCATTTAGCTAGGAGTTCAGTATTTTATAAGTGGTATCAACCTACTCCTAAGGGGAGGGGAAATGATTTGAACAAACTTGAATCTACACTTACAGAGGATGATTCCATATTTCTTTGACAAATCATGCCTTAAAGAGATTTTTAAAGATTTTTCCTATAAGTTTTATCTTCTATTGTGTCAATGCCCTATCCCAAGGGGACATAACCTTTGCTGTTCTTGAGAAGATTTTTAAAGAAGCCGCCTGACTGTATATATATCTGCCTTATGCTAATTTGAACAAGAGGCCCATGGGCCACATCGCTCACCTGAGCATTGTGGCTATCTCTGTATGTCTCAGTTCAGTTCAGTATTGAAAAGCTTTAATGCATAAGTGGTCCCAACCTACCCCTAAAAAGGGATGGGGGGGCATGTTATGATCTGAACAAAATTGAATCTACACAAACTAAAGATGCTTACATATTTTTTTTCTCTGTGACTTTTTTCACTACAAGTTTGAACTTTCATTATGGTCCCACCCAACCCCCAGGGGTCATGGTTTGAACAAATCTGAATCTACACTATCTGAGGATGCTTCCATATAATTATGACCAATTATAGCTTTACTGTTCTTGAGAGGAAGGTTTTTAAAAAAAATTTCGTATGTATTCCTATGCATAACTTTAATCATCAATTGTGACCCCACCCTATCCCCAGGGGGTCATGATTTTTTTCAAACATGAATCTACACTACCTTAGGAATAGTTAATAACCAATCATAGCTTTGCTGTTCTTGAGAAGATTTATTCTATATATTCCTATGTAAAACTTTAATGATCATTCATTGTGGCCCCACCCTATGCACAGGGGTCATGATTTGAACAAACTTGAATCTACACCACCTGAGGATGCTTCCATATAAATATGACCAATCATGGCTTTGCTGTTCTTGAGAAGAAGATTTTTAAAGATTTTTCCTATATATTCCTATGTAAAACTTCGATTGTCCATTGTGGCCCCACCCTACCCCCGTGGGTCATGATTTGAATAAACTTGAATCTACACCACCTGAGGATGCTTCCATATAAATATGACCAATCATGGCTTTGCTGTTCTTGAGAAGAAGATTTTAAAAGATTTTTCCTATATATTCTTATGTAAACTTTGATCATCCATCGTAATCCCACCCTATCCCTGAGGTCATGATTTGAACAAACTTAAACCTATACTACCTGAGGATGCTTCCATATAAATATGTTTCACCATGGCTCTGCTGTTCTTGAGAAGTAGACTTTTTTAAAGATTTTTCCTATATATTCCTATGTAAAACTTTGATCAGCCATTGTGGCCCCACCATATCCCAGGGGGTTTTACAATGTATATCATGTAAAACCTTGATCGTCTATTGTAGCCCCACCCTATGCACAGGGTCATGATTTGAACAAACCATAATATACACTAACTGAGGATGCTTCCATATAAATATGTACAACCATGGCTTTCTGCTCTTGAGAAGAAGATTTTTAAAGATTTTCCTATATCTATATAAAACTTTGATCCTCCATTGTAACCCCACCCTACCCTTGAGGTCATGATTTGAACAAATTTAAACCTACACGACCTGAGGATGCTTCCACATAAATATGTTTAACCATGGCTTTGCTGTTCTTGAGAAGAAGACTTTTTTTTTGAAGATTTTTCCTATGTATTCCTATGTAAAACTTTGATCAGCCATTGTGGCCCCACCCTATCCCAGGGGGTCATGATTTGAACAAACTTGAATCTACACTACCTGAGGATGCTTCCATATAAATATGACCAATCATGGCTTTGCTGTTCTTGAGAAGAAGATTTTAAAAGATTTTTCCTATATATTCTTATGTAAACTTTGATCATCCATCGTAATCCCACCCTATCCCTGAGGTCATGATTTGAACAAACTTAAACCTATACTACCTGAGGATGCTTCCATATAAATATGTTTCACCATGGCTCTGCTGTTCTTGAGAAGTAGACTTTTTTTAAAGATTTTTCCTATATATTCCTATGTAAAACTTTGATCAGCCATTGTGGCCCCACCATATCCCAGGGGGTTTTACAATGTATATCATGTAAAACCTTGATCGTCTATTGTGGCCCCACCCTATGCACAGGGTCATGATTTGAACAAACCATAATATACACTAACTGAGGATGCTTCCATATAAATATGTACAACCATGGCTTTCTGCTCTTGAGAAGAAGATTTTTAAAGATTTTCCTATATCTATATAAAACTTTGATCGTCCATTGTAACCCCACCCTACCCTTGAGGTCATGATTTGAACAAATTTAAACCTACACTACCTGAGGATGCTTCCACATAAATATGTTTAACCATGGCTTTGCTGTTCTTGAGAAGAAGACTTTTTTTTTTAAAGATTTTTCCTATGTATTCCTATGTAAAACTTTGATCAGCCATTGTGGCCCCACCCTATCCCAGGGGGTCATGATTTGAACAAACTTGAATCTACACTACCTGAGGATGTTTCCACATAAGTTTCATCTTTCCTGGATTTGATGTTATTGAAAAGAAGGTTTCTAAAGATTTTTCCTATGTATTCCTAGGTAAAACTTTGATTGTCCAATGTTGTCCCACCTCAACTCCTTGGGTCATGATCTGAACAAACTTGAATCTACACTACATGAGGATGTTTCAACATAAGTTTCATCTTTCCTGGCCCAGTGTGTCTGGGGAAGAGGATTTTTAAAGATTTTACCTATGTATTCCTATGTAAAACTTTGATCAACCATTGTGGCCCCAACCTACCCCCAGGGGTCATGATTTGAACAAACTACCTGAGGATGTTTCCATATAAGTTTCATCTTTCCTGGCCCAGTGGTTCTTGAGAAGAAGATTTTTAAAACATGCCACCAAATTCACTTTTACTTAATTATCTCCCCTTGAAAGGAGATGTGGCCCTTCATTTGAACAAACTTGAATACTTTTCACCCAAGGATGCTTTGTGGCAAGTTTGGTCAAAATTGGCCCAGTGGTTCTGGAGAAGAAGATGAAATTGTGAAAAGTTAATCACAATGACAACAACGACGACAGGGAACAGACAAATTTTGATCAAAAAAGCTCCCTTCAGCCTTCAACTCAGGTGAGCTAAAAAAAATCCTTTTTCACTATATAATCAATAAAGGACAGTCCTAAAATAAGAAACCCCTGACCCAAGGCCATGAAATTCACAAATTTGGAAGAGGCACCCTTGCTCGTCATAACTATGCACTTTGTTTGTTTACTTACCGGTAAAACCAAAATCAAATAAGAATATTTTCAAAGAAATAATGCATTTTCACTATATAATCAATAGAGCCCCCCCCCCCCCCCCGAACCCCTGACCCTGGGGCCCCAAATTTCTCAAATTTTCGAAAAGGCATCCTTGATCATCATAACCATGCACTTAGTTATCTGCTAAATATACCCGGGAGAGAAGAAGACTTAAAGAATTTATCCACTTTCCCTTTAGGATCCTTAGAGCCCCACCCAACTCCGAAACCCCTGATCCTTGGTTTGGTAGAGGGCTTAGTGATTATTACAATCATGCTAACAGTTTGACTGCTTGATGTACAGGGGTAAAGAAATTTTTGAAGATAGCACTAATTTTGATGATTTTAGCTCCACTGCTTAGGCCCCAGGGAGAGAGGGGGCAGAGACCACAAATTCCCCTTCACTTATAAATGTTACATGAATATGCCAAAATTGGTTGAAATTAATTCATTGGTTCAAGAGAAAAAGCAGATAATGTTCAAAAGTTTATGAAAGACACAATGCACAACAATGGACAAAAACAGGTAGCAATAGGACACCTGAGTGACTCAGTTGATAAAGATATCAATACCATCAAGATTAATGTCTGGGCACAAACATGAAGCCACTGATAAACTTTGATGAGTTGAAAGACTTATAAAAGGGCAATAAACATCTGTCCAGCAGACAAGCTCAATCAAGCCTCTTCCAAATTAATAAAATATGGAGATGAACAATAATCAAAGTCCATTGAAAAAATACAAAATGGAAGCAGAGCAAACAGGGACCTCTAAAAAAACGTGAGAGGTGGGATCAGGTGCCATGGAGGTGTAAGCATCCCCTGTTGACGGGTTACACCCAACTTGTGCTCTTTGTAATGATCGGGCACACGGAAAAATCTGAAGAAAATTTAGTGTTTAAAAATTGGCCTAACAATTAGTATGAAAAATGTCAGTCAGCATTCCACTTAATAATAGATTGTATTTGCTGACAAGGTCATTGTATTGACCATAGAACTTAGGAAATGATGACTTTAAATGATTTTTTAAATCCTTGTTTAATCAATTTGTTTGTAAATAGCTTGTCTCGTTTTAGAAATACTTTCTACTTTGTACATGGAGCATGTTCTTGCTTTTCAAATAAACTGGGAGTCATAATTTCCATATGCAGGTGATAAGGGTAAATTGCTACATAAGTAAGGGAAGTTGATGATAGAAAAATTGAAGTCATCACATTTATCATAAAGTTTTGTTGTTAGGTTACCATTTCAGATTTTCTAGCAAAATATCAATACATGAAACAGATGTGTCAGACTCTGTGGTATCTTTTATATCAAATTCACTTGGACATATCAAGTCGACATTTGAATGGAAGTAACTATAATTGTTAATTGATTATACGTCGTACATATATCAAAATGTTGAGTTGAAGCCACAGCAAGTGTCTTCTTCTTCTCATGTAGAAGTTTTTGAATAAATTCTGCTTCAGATGAATATAAAAATAGGTCTGCTAATAACAAGGTGCAATTGGTACCCATGGGAATTCCAATAGATTGTTGGAAGACCTAATCTCCTAAAACTACATAGATATTGTCAATCAGAAGCTCAAGCATCTTTTTAATGTCAACTTCAGAGTACTTGTGTGTACAATCAGAATGTTTTTTTAAAAATAATTTTGCAATGACAAGGTAAGTATATATACGAGTTCCATTTTTATTGAAAAAGCAGCTGTCTATGATGTCAAAAAGCCTGGACTTGAATTCATTGTGGGGAATAGTTGTATAAATTAAGTGTTGAAAAGTTGTATGTTTTGAAGTTACTGATTTTGGTAAAATTTTGTGATTTCAAATTTTCTAGAAGTTCTTTTGAGTTTTTTAGTATCTACATCTGATTATTATTAATATCTACTTCATTTAAGTACACCACTTCTTGAATATACTGTTGTACACTACTCCTTAAGTTTCTCCTTCATTGCTGTTAATATTTTAGTGAGAAGTAAAGGCTTGGTAGAACATTCACTGCAACCCACCATGTATCTTTAATTGAACATGTATTTTTATGAAGTTTGGAATCCGGTATGGGTGTGTTAATTCAAATTTATTTTGACTGTTGGGAATATTAAAAATATTTTAAAACTGACATTGTGATTTTGAAGAAAATAAGTGAACTAAAATTGATACATATGCACCATGTACTTTATACTCTCCTACTTACCCTATATCTGTATGGTATATTATGCATACGGTATTTTCTGTCTTCAAAGATATCAGCAATAAGAAGAATTTCACTTACACGTATGCTGAGCCCCTTCTCCAACTGGGAATAAAATAAGAACTTATTTATCCATACTTAATGACAAATCTGTATATACTTACATTTATTTCAGTAACTAAATCTAATCAAGATAAATCTTTTGAAGATAAATAACTTTATAATACAACCTTATCTAGAATTTCTTCAGCTGTTTTCCGAGAGCGTTTATGAGAGGGCAGTTTTTCCACTTTTAAAGCAAAATCATCTAGAACACTTTGACAATAACTGAGCTTGTGTTCCAGTTTATTCAGCTCTACACTTGTTCTCTGAGCATCAGACATAAAATGAGATGTTAGAAAAATACCAGGCCAAGCAAACCTGAAATAGATGAACAGATCTTCAGTAGAATGTTTAAGGTAAAATATAAAACTTCAATTACATTGAAAGCATATAGAGAATAAAATGGCAGAGGTTCAAAATAGTGAATGCTACAAACTAGTCAATATTTCTTGATGGTAAAAAACTTTTCATTTGATGGTAACCAGATACATGTAATGTCAATGTAGATCAAGTTAAACTGCATGTACTCGTTAAATATGTCAGTGACACAATCTTTTTTATCATTAAAAATTTTTTTTTTAACAATTTGCAAGTCTCAATAATCTCTATGCAGGCAGGAATGTGAGCAGAATGTGGATACATGTATATGAAATAAAACTTAAAGGTATGTATGGCATATCTGAGCTAAAGAAATATTACGAAACTGAGTGCAGATATATGTAATGTATGTTAAAATTAAATTTTTCATCTATTCTGAACTTGGATTTGGAACTATACTTAAATTTTCTTTAAACTTTGTTGTAATTGTGTTGAATATAAGGGTTGGCCTTTTGAAAAGACATTTTCATTTGATGGGAATAATATGACATAACTAATGATGTCACAGACTACCTAGACAATAACATACATAATTTTTAATGGATATGTAGTCATCACAGGTCCGGTTAAAAACATAACATTATATCCATTAAAAGTAAATAATTTTGATATTTTACAAGGCAAAAATGGTGCAATTTGTGAATCCTGCTCACTCATGGTAGCAACTATGTGAAGATATTTAGGAAAAACAGCATTTCAAACCTGTGTTTAATATCTCTGAATAAATTTCTAAAATCTTCACATCAAATATTAGACTTTTACTAAGCATACGTACATGTAATTCCAAAACTGTTACACCAAATGTCAGTATGTTAATTATGTCATATTAATCAATTACCAGGTAAGCAGAAAACATTGATATACATGTATATGTAACTTACAAAAGAGGTAAAAATAAAACACTGAATGGCAAAGCAGTGATAACGACTACTGGCACCAATTTAATCTTCTGCTGTGATATCTATAAATATATACATATAATCTAAGGATTAAAGATGAAAACCATAACATTATCTTTATTACAGTTATATGAATGTTATATATATAATTCTGACCTCTTGGTATGCCAGTAACTCCTGTCTGGTGTACGTGCTCAGTTTTCCACCAGTCCGTAGAGCTTTTGTCATTTGAAAAAATATGAGTGCATCTCTTTTTAAATCCAGCACACCTAAAAAACAAAGAATACCAATTAACCAAAAAATGATTAAAGTCATATATGGCATATTTTTTATAAGTTCTGACTAACTAAAATTAAAAAGATCTTCCTATTTGTTTTATTTCTTGATATAAAGATAGCTAGGACTTTCCTGTAAATTACACAATTTAAAGCTGCTTAGCAATCGTGTTTCATTAAATGTTAGAAATTTAAAACAATAACTGATTTATTTACCAACTCTGCATCAGATACAGTTTTAAGTCATTTTAACTATAGAAAGGTGAGGTTATACAAGTTCAAAATCGGTGAAAATTTTAATTTGAACGTAAATAACAAATGTCATGTTCATCTACATTCAATCTTGTACTTCTATTTTTTCACTCAGATACGCCATATATAGCTTTAAAAACCATCAAAATTTGTGGCATCTTAAAAAAACTTCTATAATTCAGGGCATCTAACAGGCACTTAACCCCTTACCAAAGTTGTGAAATTCATGGCTCCCAAGTTCAGAATGTGGGCCCAATGATGGGGCTAATCTGGTCATATGTTTTGCAAATACATTCTACCTTAATTTCAAAATTTTCTTAAATCATGGTTATGTAGATGGAAAACTGTGTGCATAATTACAATGATTTGTTAGTCTTCTACTAAAATTTGGAATAATGTCACCTGGGTTCTGGATTTAAGCCCCAGGGTTAACTCAGTAACTTAGTAGATCATATTTTGAAAATTCATTGAATTTAAACAAAAATTCATTTCATCATGAACATCAGAGACAAATTGTTTTCTTGTTTTTATGAGCAGTATAGACCTTTAACTAAAATTGTGAAAATCTTGGTCCTGACGTCCAGGACTCGTATCCCAGGGTGGGGCTAGGTTGGTCATATATTGAAAATTCATAATAATTATAAAACTATTGTTTCTTGACATTAATTCACAAGCTTGTTTACTGCATAATGATTCTTTGCTGTGAACTGACATTTTACTAAACTGTGAAATTTGTGTGGTGAGAATAAGTCAGCCATGTGGGACCAGATACATATTTGCATTCTACATATATCAATTAAATTTTATATAAATTTATACTAATCTATATACAGTCAAACCTCATTATCTCGAACTCAATGGGACCAAGAGAAAACTTCGAGATATCCAAGAATTCAAGATATACAGGGTAAAATGCTTACAGAAGAATAAGGGGTTGGGACTTCAAAATCGCTTCAACATATTGATGGTATTCAATTAAGATATCCTTGTTCCAGATACTGAAGTTCAACTGTAATTTTATATGATAAAAATAAAAAAACACCCAAAAAGGCTTGACCAAAATTAGCATCAATATCAATTAATATATATATATATATATATATACAATAATAATTTCATGGAATTACTTCGAATAAAATGAAAAAAAGCCTCATGTTAATTTTTCATAAATGCTTGACAAGTATGAATATTAAAAAATCAGATACATTTAATTTAGTCTTTATGTGTTTTCAGCTGTCTGACTTTCTTCTGTTTTTTTAAAACATTATGATGTTATTAAAACTGGAATTCAAAGCACATGTATATTACCATTCAGCACTTGCATTTGGTACTGGTATAACGTAGGGAAGTGTCTTCCTAGAAATTTGAGGTAAGCATTCTTCCCCCTGGCTGCAGTATTCTTTATTCTATCCACTAGAGAACTTGATCTTCTGATGCCAAATTTACACAATTCATTATGGTCACTTTGCTGATAATGTGTATAGCTGCTGCATATGAAAAACAAATGAAACTACATATTTTTACTTTTTGAATCATTCACGGAGTTCACTACCTATGTCAGAAAATTCTTTGTCACAGGATTTTCAATCTTTTCAAAATGAATGATTAGCACTTGCTTATATGGCCTTGTACAGTACAATAAAAAACACAAGGTACTTTTTCTTACGTTTAGAGAATGGCCTTGTACAGTATAATAAAAACACACAAAATACACAAGGTAAGAAACAAAATTTGTAAACAAATGGGGGGTTCCTGCTTTGAAACATATTTCCGAGGTAATAATAGTGTAACCTATCATAATTTTGCAAGCACTCTGTCAGGGAGCTGTTCTTATGCTAGTCTCTTCAACCTAAACCCCATTATTAGTGTTTTATATGCCATAATCGGATGATTTATTACTCGAATACATAAAATTTTCTCTATATTGACTGCTTTGAAGGAGGTTTTGGAGTTCGCAGATCTGTTTCGCTTTATCTGATTGGTCAAAGATTTAAACTGTATCACTTTTAACCAATCAGATAAAGCAAAATAATAGGCTCTTACAATTTATTAATTAAAGTGTGGGGGGGGGGGGAGGGGGGTATTGATCCACACTTAAGGTGCCTGTGATATTTAATGATATCTAGCACAGTGAGCTCCACAGAGAATGTGAACAAACAAAAATTCGGGTTGAAATCTGCACTTTTATGAGTCCACATGAAAAAAATTCCAAACTCCCAATAATCCTTTGCGGTGCATAGCAATATGGTGGCTAAGGCATAGCAACAACTTACTTGAGAAAAATTACAAACACAGTTTTGATGCAATTTCCATGCCACAAAACTATTGTTTGCATCCTCAGACAACATGACTTTGTATGTGACTGGTATCAGGTTCGTTCGCCCTATCTACCTGTTCGCATGAGTCTGTTCATGCAGGGTCCGTTCGCCATTATTCTTGTTCACCCTATATCTCATTCGCCATATATCTCGTTCACCCTAATATATACAGTATATTGTATATTGTAAATATTAACATTTATTTTTAATTTTATTCAATATTTTATGACTTGGTGGTTTTTTTTTATTTCAAATGTTACTACAGTATTTTTTTATTTACTGTAATCTTAATCAAATAATTCAAATTTGATATTAATGCTTTTACATGCTTAATTTGTTTAATTATACTTAATAATGTCACTGTAATTTAGGGGATCATTTCCATGTTTTTTTTACAATCTGCTTTATGTTTGGAAAACAATTAAAGGAGGGAGACATTACTTTCTGTTGGTCTGCTGGGTCTTTGATAGGACAGGTATTTAGTGTGACCATATGCATACATGATCATCTGTTGTCTCCCGTGTGCAATTTATGTACCAATGTACATATAACATTTTTAAATTAAGTGCCCCACCACAGCATGATACGCCTGTCAAATATTGTTCAATTGTCATAAACAGTTTAGAGTGCAAGAAAATCACGTCAACCTTGACACAAGGATTTCAATGATTTTTGCATTCCCCATAATATTCGTTTATACATCTCCTGTGGTGTAAGCATTAATTATAATATATATTACATTATAGATCTTCAACTGGTTGTGTTAGAGCTTGACAAATGCCCATCCCCCCCCCCCCCCCCCCCCCCCCCCCCCCCCCCCCCCCCCGTCAGATTTGTGAGACATGATGCTCTGAATTCGTTTATATTTTTTAAAAAATTAATTAAAAATATCATATTAAACAATATCAATTTAGTCTTAACAACTTAATCTATATCAAATTATATCAACAATAAAAGGCATATGCTATAAACTGAAAAGCAGTTCTTCTGTCTAATTCCCAAAGGATACAGATAAGAGCTGCTTGATCAGAGATCCTCTAACAGAAATGATTGAGACAGCTAGCCTTCCTACACTGAACTCATTAATTAATCATGTCCACTCATTACTCCCAACGGATGAATGGAACTATACATACTATCTGCTTTGTAGTGCAATAAAAATGCATATGTCATTCTGATATTAAATTTGAAAACAAAGATTTTTTTTTAATTTGTTACAAACATTTATAAAAAGAAAAAAAAACTTGTGTAATCTTGATACAATATTTTTAATAAGGTTCCTGCATTACTCTTAGATTTGTAGGGACTATCTACCATAATTAAATCATTTTTTTTAAATACTTGATTATTTTTAGATTTAATGTCAGACTGGTTTTAAGCTGCAATTCATACAGACAATGGGCATGCTGATTCCAATACCCCCCCCCCCCCCCCAGTATAATTAGTTTTAATTATATTATACAATATCAATTAGTTTATTATACAATATCAAATTAATTTATTATACAATATCAAATAAGTTTTAATTACTGTTCACCAAATTCATTTTCAAAGTTAGGCTAGCCAACTATTTAATCCAACAGGGCTGATTCTTTTTACCCAGTTCCCAAGAGATATAGATAACACCTGCTTGATCAGAGATGCTCTACCAGTTAGCTCCTCACACTCAACACATTAATTTCTCTCTAATCTGACATGCAATTTTCTGTTATCAAATTCTTCTTGACCAGTGCTTGATAATTACACCCATGGGAGAGGTGGAATTTCTCTTGTAACATTACATTTGTTATAGATTGCTGTGAAGTATATAATGAAAAAATAAGTTAGTGTATTTTCTTGATTTAACATATTTTTAATAAGGATACTGCAACACTCTTGCATTTTTTGGTATTGTATAATCTACATGTAATAGTAAAAAGACAGTTTTATTTTTAAATTTCACTTAAATTAAAGGTCACAGTGACCTTGACATAGGTCGCGACACACCTTCTACCTAAGATGCATAAATTGGCCAAGTTTGATGATTGTAAGTCTAATAGTTTTTTAGTTATGAGCCGAACAGGATTTTTCCATATTTTGCCATAGCATCTTAATTAAAAGTCAGAGCAATCTACTTTTAGTGTGCGACACACCTTCTACCCAAGAAGTATCAGCTGACAAAGTTTGATAATCCTAAGCCTAATAGTATTAAAGTTATGAGCCGGACACAAGAAAAGCTAACAGACAGACAGATGGACAGACAGACGGACATGAACGCCATAACATAATACGTCCCGTCTAAAGACGGGCATATAAAAATCCATTGGTTCATTATTCAACTTTCTGCAATATAAATAAGGTGAACGGACCCTGTGCGAACAAGTTTAAGGGTGATTGGACTCTGGGCGATCCAGAATTAGGGCGAAAGGCATCAAGGGCGAACAAATTTTAGGGGGATCGAACATACAACAGTATGTGACGTCATATTTTTGTCACTTAAATGATTTGTGCATTTCTGAATTTGTCGGAAAAATCCAAGGAGTTCGGAATCTTCATCCCCATGCATGGGAAGTCTGCAAAGTAAGATAATATTTCTATTTTCTTGTCATAGATATCGTTTTTAAAAAAAGATGAACTTATGAAATGCAGTAAATGCAGGCTTACAGGGTTTACTGAAATGTGTATAACTATATTCTATATATATTCTAATGCAAAATGACATTTGAGAGGTGTATAAAGCAGTGGAATAATGAATATTACAAAAATGAAACTGCGCTCACCCTTACGGTTTCACCGTCGAACATATTAAGAAATAAATCTTTTTTTTTTCTTTGATCTGTGTATCAAAGATAAAGAAAACTTGGACGGAAAACTTTTTTCATCAATGCACTATCAAATATAGGGCAAATTTCAGCCTTTGTCATACTTTGTCCTTTGCAATGTTAATATAACTTGTGACAATGTATTATAAAAACCGGTATCTACAACTGTTCAAAGCAATAATTTATCAAAGAACATGCCCAACACTTTCAGAAAACAATCCTTACCTTGATGAGTGACAAGACAACAGAAGTGGTCTTGACACCAACTGTCGTGACAACATAACTAAATTAATTTGTAAAACCCATAAAATAAATTTAAAAACTACATTCGTAAATAATTATGAAGTCAGTAAGATCATAAAGATGATAATCATACACCAAAAGCCTCATGTCATTTCAAAATAATTCGATTACCGAACCCGATGAGATTTTTTATTTTTTAATTTTCTTTCATTTTTAAAACTTAAAAGCACAAAACAAACAGGATATTTGAGTGGAACCAGTGCTTCTTAGAATTTTTTCATTATAAAAATAGTTTAAATAGTATTTACTCTTAATTTTCATACCATGTAAATCTTTTTAGTAACTAAATGTTTTCTTTCGTTGGCCGTTTTCCTTCTCACTTTTACATTGCTGTCAATTATTTCCGATGTACACAAAGCGTTTTAGTTACAACTACAAGTGCATTTATTATAAAAACAAAAAAAAAGCTTGTCATGCAATGTGTTACAGTTACTTAGAAATTTCAAACCATATTCTACGGAACCAGTTCAACAAATGGAGAGAAAAATCAAAACTGTTCTTGTCGACTTGAGTGGAACAATTCATATTGAAAATGAAGAGATACCAGGGTCTATGAATGCATTGAAAAGGCAAGATCTGACGAATCATGATGGTAATGAAGTTTTAAGAACAAAGTTGTTTTGATACCGGTAATTGGGTAAACTTTACTTGATCAGTCTCCAGATTCACAAGGTGCACACGCTCATTGCGCTATGACATTCAATGATTTATGTTTGGACTTGGCAATTTTAACTTGTGTTAGCTTGCTGCCACTTGACTGATAATGATTAGTTTTGCACACTCTCAAGAAATAGTGTTTGTCCTTGCGCATTATTGGACTTGTTAGGGTTAGCTTTGGACACACCCAAGACATTAGGTTGTCCTCGCACTCTATTTGAATGACTGGTTGACTTAGTCTTGCACCCACCAGAGAGAGATTTGGGAATTGGGATGAGTCCTCACACATTATTTGACAGATTAGTGTTAGTTTTACACTGACTAGAGAGATAAGGGTTTATCCTCACAACGTAAAGAGTCCTAAGTCCACTTGTGGATGTGGGACCCTGACAAACTTCATTTCAGTTGGTAATTTACGGGCTGATTGCAGGACGTCTTTTGGGGAAATTACAAATCTTGATTGTTTTTTTCTAATCTCTCAACCAATCACATTAAGTCTTTCAACAACAAACAAATTTAAACACTTGCATTTAGGTGTCAACTGCTTAATTTCTGTTTAAATTTTATATTAACTTATGAGAGCCCAAATCCGAAAAATATCAAATGAAGTTTGTCAGAGGTCCCATGCACATCCAGGAGTGAACTCAGGACCCCTGATGTTGTGGGGATGATTAGGGTTAGTCCTTGAAGACTATTCAACTTGTCAGAGTTTTAAGGTTTATCCGTCTCGCACAAACATGTGAGAATAGGGTTAGTCCTTGCACACTATTAGACTGTTTAGGGTTAGGGTTAGTCTCACATACATCTGAGAGAATTGGGTTAATCCTCACACATTTGACTGATTAGTTTTAGCCTCACACTAACTAATTTAAGAGATAAGGGTTAGTCCAGACACACACTTTTGGACTAGTTAGGGTAAGTCTCACACCTGTCCAAACAATTAGAGTTAGTCCTTATACACTAATTAAATGACTAATAAGGGTTCATCTCGAATCCATCAGAGAGATTTGGGTTAGTCTTCACTCATTATTTGTTATCGATAATTATTATTTGTCTCGTACTAACCAGAGAGATTAGAGTTACATGTTGTCCTTTCACATTATTTGACTGATTAGTGTTAGTCTCACACTGACCAGTGAGATTAGAGTTGGTCCTTGCACACTATTTAAATAACTGATTAGAGTTGGTCCTCACACACTATTATAATAACTGATTAGAGTTGGTCCTCGCACACTATTTAAATAACTGATTAGAGTTGGTCCTCGCACACTATTTAAATAACTGATTAGAGTTGGTCCTCACACACTATTTAAATAACTTATTAGAGTTGGTCCTCGCACACTATTATAATAACTGATTAGAGTTGGTCCTCGCACACTATTAAAATAACTGATTAGAGTTGGTCCTCACACACTATTTAAATAACTGATTAGAGTTGGTCCTCACACACTATTGTAATAACTGATTAGAGTTGGTCCTCGCACACTATTAAAGTAACTGATTAGAGTTGGTCCTCATACACTATTATAATAACTGATTAGGGTTAGTCTTGCATCCATCATAGAGATATGGGTTAGTCCTAACATATAATTTGACAGATCAATGTTAGTTTTACACTGACCAGAGATATAAGAGTTAGTCCTTGCACATTGTTTGACTGGTAAGGGTTAGTCTTGCACTGACCAGAGAGATTAGGGTTAGTCCTTGCATACCACCCAAAAAATTAGGGTCAGTTAATTTTTATTACAGATGCAATCTTTTTAAATTAGTTAAAAAATTCAGTTAAATCAACCATTTGATGAAAGATGCTACAGACATTTAATTTTGCATCATCTTTCTCTTTTGATCAACAGCATTGTTACAGTAAAACTTGTTTAGGATGAATGTGCACGTAGTGAATTTATGAATACATGTATAGCAATTTTTTTTTTAAAAATTCCCGTCGAAATTCTTTACAATTCTTTGTAAAATTTTACACTTACCATATAATGAACCCTGATATGGTCAATTTACTAATATTGCAAACTGATTTTGCATCCCCTAGAGGTTAAAAATAATGAAATTTATATCTTTTATAGCAAAGTTTTAAGGTCTCAAAATTTGAAATGTTGAACTGACATTATTTTTCTTAAGTATTTGTATCTAAAATTTAATTAATCTAAAAACTTTTATACCCCAACGTAAGTTTTGTGTTTAATACTTCCCTGAACATATTCAGAAGTATACTATACTTGAAGGAAAATGTATTTTGCAAATTCGCTGTAATAATATATATATTTTATTGAATAACAATTCCTAATATGGATATAATGAATTACGGATATAGCAGGGTTGTCCCTAAGAATTGAAATAGAAGGGGACATTTAAAAAGTAGAAGGGTAACTGGGTTCCTCCCTTATTGGGGAGTTTAAGAGGAATACCGAATTACATCATTATAGGCAGGGAAATTCCCCGGCCCCCGGGTCTTAGAGACAACCCTGTATAGTGAAATAAATTTACAGATCCCAAGGACTTTGCTATGTTTTACTGCAAGTATTTTCTTTACAGAACTTTGGCAAACTAATTAAGAAACACTATTATATAAGCATGCACTGCATGTGCTTCATTGACAATTATTATTTATTGATTTCTCTATTTAAACATCTTTGTGGTAAGTAACTTTTTTATTCACGAGAACTTTATTTCTGTGTAATTACGAGAGACCACGCATTTATATGTATAAGTAAAGATTATATGGAACAAAATATTGTGAAAATTATATCTCACATATAAATTATAAATACCAATTGACAATCTTGCAAAAATAAGATGTCATTAAATTCAGTCTACACCTCTCAAATGATGTATCTCCCCACTTACTTTTGCAGATATTTCGTATACTTCCATACAAGTACATTTTCAGAATTAGCACTATACCAATATTTCTTTTTCACAACAAAAGATCATTTCACTTTCTGACAATAACACTATCAGTAGGTTCTGACTTTGATTAAATAAATGCATGAATTTAGTTTTTTTTTTCTTATTTGAACAGGTTGAGGAAATCAAATTTAAACATCAAGTTTGTAACAAACACAACAAAAGAATCACAGAAGCTGCTTTTAGAGAGGTTGAAAAGAATTGGCTTCAGTATCGAATCCTCAGAAATCTTCACCTCCTTAACTGCTGCAGTTAAATTGATAAAGAAAAAATCACTACGGCCTCTCCTGCTTGTAGACGATAGAGCTTTAGAGGAATTTGAAGGTAATCAGAGTATAGCTGCAAAAAATATATTAGTTAACTTGTGTTGTTGATTGCAGCCACACAATAATTTGTGGAAGCCCCATTCTGCATCTTTCCAGAGTTTATCTGTGTTTTTTAAAGACCCTTTACCGTAATATTCTCAATGATCACCTCTCAATTAATACCTTAAATTTATATGTATATGAGTTTAACCCTGAAGGGAAAGTGAGGCTAATAAAACAAGTTTAAAGTGTTATTCAGAAATAATATATATAGACAGAATCTTACTTTTCAAAAATGGTAAAACTTTTTTTTGTAAAATAGATGTGCATTTATGATTTTATCCATATGAAGATTTTATCAATTTACCTAATAATTTACTTCAGGGTGGCAGTGAGGGCACAGTAGGTTTTTTTTCACTGACTATATTTTTTTTAGGTCACCTGAGTGACTCAGGTGACTATTGCTATCAGTTTTTGTCCATTGCCATGCATCATGCATAAACTTTTGAACATTTTCAACTTAATCTCAAGAACCAAAAAATAACAAATTTGTTCAAATCATGACCCCCATGGGTAAGGTGGGGCCACTGTGGGTGATCAAAGTTTTACATAGGAACATAGAGGATAAATCTTTTAAAAATCTATTTCTCAAGAACAGCAAAGCCATGATTATTCCTATTTATCATCAGGTAGTGTAGATTCAAGTTTGTTCAAATCATGACCCCCGGGGTAGGGTGGTGCCACAATTGGAGATCAAAGTTTTTCATGGTAATGTATAGGAAGAATCTTTCAAAATCTTTCTTCTCAAGAACAATAAAGCTGTGATAAGTCATATTTATATGGAAGCATCCTCAGGTAGTGCAGATTCAAGTTTGTTCAAGTCATGAACCCTGGGGGTAGGGTGGGAGGTGGGATCACAATCGAGGACCAAAGTTTTACACAGGAATATATGGAAAAATCTTCCCAGGAATAGCAAGGCCATGATTATAGTCATATTTAAATGGAAGAATCCTCTGGTAGATAGTGTATATTTAAGTTTGTTCAAATCATGACACCCAGGGGTAGGGGGGGACCACAGTGAAGGATCGAAGTTTTACATAGGAGTTTAAAAATCTTCCTGTGAACAACAAAGTTATGATTTGTAATTTGCAAGTACATGTATATATGGAAGCATTTTCAGGTAGTGTAGCAAGTTTGTTCAAAACATGACCCCTTGGCGTAGGGTGGGGCCAAAATATGTGATCTAAGTTTACATAGCAATATATAGGGAAAAAATCTGCTGATGAAGAACAGAAGAGCCATGGTGACTCAGGTGAGCATTGTAGCCCATGAGCCTTGTTTAATGGTCAGCATGGTCAGGAAGACTTTTTGATAATAAATAAATAAAAATGAGACAATCTCTTTAGCATATTGTTATGCAAATATTATTTATAAACCATGAGAGGCCAATTGAGTGGAAATGCACTCGGTTCATTCTATGTGCAATTTAGTTTCATGTTAAAGCACTGTTGTGTTTTTTTCAAGTTGGGTTTAGTTACAAATGTGAGTTTAGATTGTACTGGCATGTGCAGGCAAGAAAACTAATCAGAGATGCTGCAGATTACATGTACCACATACCAACTATTTTGTTGATCCTTGATTGCCCTAAATTCTCATGTTTCATCCTCTGTATTTATTTTGGTTTATTACATATCCCAGTACTAGTAATAATATACCTAATTAAACAGAGCTGTATCAGCACCCATGCATTATGGATTACTAAGTAAGTAATAAATATATTAACATACCCTTTTCTAATTCACACCCCGATATCCATTCTCCATCCTTCGAGCTGATCTTGGTTTCTCAAGCTGATACAGGTTGTGATATTGAAAAGGGTTGTATTATTCTCTACTTACTGCATAATTATCAATTTGCCCTTCTATGAGATGCTTTACAGGGTTGTGTTGTACTCAGGTGACCATTAAGGGCCTTGAACCTCATGTAAAAAAAATCCTCTAAAGCAATGAGCTTTAATTATGTCTTGAAGTAAAGAAGTAGGTCTGTGGATGAAAATTTATACTAACTATAATTCAGACATACATTTTAGTTTTCTTTGTCTGAGATTCATCTGCTAAAAACCAAAGTTAATTAAAGAGGTTTGTTCCTGAGCTTGTGAGCAGATTTTTGTCTTGACCTCTATTTAAAAAATTCTGCATATTGTGTTAGGTCTTACAATAGATTTGGCTTCTACAATGCTAATTAAACTATATTCAATTAAACCCCCATGATTAAATTCCATACTGAAAGCATTACGTGGGGAACTATATTTTGTGGCGGAGGGTTTTTTTTTCCAGAAGAAAATGATCAATTTTTCTTTTTTGAAGTACATGTATATGCAGTATTTTTAAGTTTGCATGATTCCTAATTTTACATGCAGGCTGCACACAGTTATTTTGTGCAGAGAAATGTTTTATGCTGGTCTTAAATTATACATTAAATTAACTGTCATGAATTTTATCATCATATTTGACATATATTGTAAAAGTCCTGGGAAAAAAAATAACCCAATTTAAGCTTAAAATTAACATATGTTAGTACATGTATTATCTAAAAATTTGCATTACAGACAACCACTTTTAATTTTCTTTTCTGAATATATAAGATAATTTTAACCATTCTGCTTAAATTCAGAAACATGTCATTACTTTCAAATGATTTTATTGCTTGTTAAATTTTTAATGCCAGAAAAATGATATTTTTTGAGTGCATAAAGGTAAAAAAATTGACTATGCGAAGTAATTTGAAACTTTTTCAGTCACATATTTTAATGTGACTATTCAAGATGAAAAGACTTTGTTTGTTCCAATAATTTATTTGGATAAAAAATATTAGAGGAAAAACTTTGAAAAATTGATTTTTGTGTTATTACAGTGCAAAAAGGTCATATTTTATGCTCTGTAGCACCAAAAGAAGCACATTGACCCCCATTTTTTGTTTTGATTTTTTTAATTAAGCTATGTGTGTAGATTCTAAAAATATCCTTAATAAAAAATTCTCAATACTTTTGATAACAGGATCCAACCTCCTTAATGTAGTAATGTAGCAAATGACTCTCAATGATATGTGACTTGCTTTGTAGGAATTGAAACCATGTCTCCAAATGCAGTTGTGGTTGGACTAGCTCCAGAAACATTTGAGTACAGAAACCTTAATCAAGCATTTTGGTTTGTTTCCTTTTCTGCCATTATTTCTAAATTATGTTAATTGATGATGTAAATTGAATTTTCAAAATAGATTAAAAGCTTATATATGAAAGTTTTGAGCTGAATGCACTTTAATAAAGCAAAGTTTGTGTAACATACACTTAAAAATTTACAACTTTACAAATTGATATAAATTCAACAATCATCTTTTGTGTAGTGTAGATTTCCTCATAAATGGTACAGCAGTATTTCATTAAATTTATTTATATAAGCATCATTATGTATCATATAGTTTATATTGAATTGCATTGTATTTATGTACCAAGGGGACATTTATGGTCAATATGGGGTGTTATATCATCTATTACATGTTTTTATCTGTAAAATCACTGAACTGGATAAGCTCTTTGGCACATAGAACCTTTTTTTTTAGGTTGTTGATAAATGGAGCTTCACTGATAGCCATACATAAAGCCAGATATTATAAAACAGCCTCAGGATTGTGCCTAGGACCAGGTACATGTATATGTAACATGAGAGAGACAATTCAATTTTAGTTTATTTACACTTTTAACTGAGCTGTTTTTTTAATTCCAAACTTAGAAACAGACACTTAGAGAATATATTAATACATTTTAATTTTGTTTTGTTTTGTTTTGTTTTTTATCAAAATTTAGAGATTCCTTCAAAGAGGAAGATACTTTTCATTTTTTTTAAAGTTTACTAAAAATATCACAAACCAGAGATCTCTGATGAGACTGTAGCTCTACTAGTGTGCACTTATAACAAAGAAAGATGTGTTTTAATATAGTCTGCTTAATTATGTACCAAGTCTTACTGAAATCAGACCAAAACTGTAGAAAGAGTAATATGGTTTGAAAGCATTTCACAGAAATATTTTTAAGTAACCATGGCAACATCAATTGTCAAAACTAAAATCAAAACATAAATTATTTATTGAAGTATAGTCTACTTGTGTACAAAGTCTTACTGAAAATAGACTGAAACTGTAGGAGGAGTAGAAGTTCAAGAGAATTACTAGCAACACCATTCATCATAATCAAAAAAGGGAGGGAGAGAATTTTGTCTACTTGTGTATCAATTCTTACTGAAATCAGGTCAAAACTGTTGGGGGAGTGTTATTGCAATAGAATTTCACAAAATTTTCTTTTTTCACTAAAGCAATACCGATTGTCAAAATCCAAAATTCAATATATAAATTGTGTATCTTAGTATAGTCTTCTTATGTACCAAGTCTAATTTAAATTCAACCAAAACTGTAGGAAAAGTAGCATTCTGAAAGAATTTTACAGAAGCTGAGAGCAGCAGCAACAGAACAAACAAAGCAAATCAAAATCGACCTTTTGTAGACATGATTTTTATTTTCATCAGGGCCATTTGTAACTGGATTAGAATATGCAGCAGATTGTAAAGCTGAGGTTGTTGGAAAACCAGAAAAAACTTTCTTCTTGTCTGCAGTAGAAGAGTTTAATTGCCAGCCAGAGGAATGCATCATGATTGGAGATGTAAAGTTTACTGCATATTTAGAAAATCATACATCTATATTTTTAAAAAATCAATCATCTCTATTAACATTAAAACTGGCCATCAAACTCTATTTGTAATTCTTGGTTAAAAAGTCATGAAACTATTGTAATTCCAAATGACCTTGATAAACTTGTTGTCTTGACCATGATGTCTAAGTAATATGCAGTCAGTATCCTCAAATATATCTGTACATGTAAAGACAGTGGATCCAAGTATGCATGGTGGCCAACTGTTCAAAAATAAATTGTGTCTATTTATACATATATGTTTACATGAAATCATATCTCTCCATAATGTACTTTGTACATGGCCTGCCAAATTCATCAAAATGAGCTAGATATAGTTTTACGCATACACATGTAAAATAGATGTATAGTTTATGAAGCAAATAAACTATAGTCAATGATGTTTATCTATATTTAACATCTGAAAACCATAGTTTACACCTTGATTTATGTTTCTCAAGTGTAAACTATATTGTGGAATCATAAGATTTAGTGGTGGCTCAGTTTTCGTGGGTACCTCTCATCCATGAATTTACATCCTCTATGAAATAATTAACTAGGGTTACAAAGTAATAATTCCCTTATTTGTATATGAGAATACACAAAATTACATTCCCTTGAACCTGTAAAATTTAAGTCATCCAGGAAAATTGACCCCCACGAATTTTAATGATTCCACATTATGTAACACTCAATGAAAACAATAATTTGCAATTAGCATTTGTAAACTATAATTTACAACTCTTAAATATAGTTTTACAGATGAAAACTTTTTTTAAAAAATTGTTAACTGTAGCATAAGTTATATGCTTCGTAAACTATAAATTTGATAAACCAAGTTTATCCACTGTAGATCAATGTTTAGCTCAATTTGTGAAACTTTGGTGTCATATTTGTAGGATGTTAGAGACGATATTAATGGTGCACAGAAATGTGGAATGCTGGGTATCCTTGTGCAGACAGGTACATTATATTATAATTTGATCTTCAAGTTAACAATAGATTATAAAGATAGGAAAATTAACATAAATTTTGCAGTATGTATGATACCTTTTTTTTTTTTTTTTAAAGATGTTTTGATTTTGAAGAAATTTCATAGAAAAAGTCAAGAGTGCTAAAATTTTACATCATTTTTCCCCAAGGTAAATACAGACCTAATGATGAAGAAAAGATTTATCCAAAACCATACCTGACTGTCAAAGACTTTCCAGAAGCTGTTGATAAAATTTTATCCGAGAAATATTTACAAATTTGAAGCAAAAGTTTGCAAGAATTGCATGATTTAGGATTTTCCACCAAAAAAAAAAAAAAAATATTACAAGACCTACATTTATGAGTCTTTGTTAATCTTTGCCTATGTGGCATTTAATACAAATTTGACTGCTTTTGAATGAAAATGATTTGATGACATTATATTTTATTGTTGTGCAAGTCTTGCACACATACATTGAACAGCTTACCAGTTGGTTGTCAGTCATATATGATTGTGTGAACATTGATATATCTCTGTTATTTAAATAAATTTTAAAAAAATTCTGTATGTTGTTAATTTCAGTCTATGCATGGCCGATAGATGTTAAGTTTTCTTCAATTGTACCACAGTGTACATACTTTTGCCATATCAACTGCATGTTTTTATCCCAAATGACATTGGTGTGGGAACAAAAGAAATCCTGGTCAAATGGAACCTTCTACATGTAGTTCCTGTATTTAAAATACATGTACATATGTAAAATGTTGATAGCCTGGACAAAACTATAAATTTTTGTTCTTGACCTTGTTCAAATGACCCTGACATAGGGCCAAGGCTTCACAAGCAACTGTATGTAATGAACAATTCTTTTTCACTACAAAATTATGACTACAGGACAAACTGTGTGATTTAGTTGGCCTTCATAAAATAAAATTTTTACACAAAAATTGCAAATAGAAATGCTGAAACTTGTGCATACATACATAGAAGTAGCTGCAACACAAACGATACCATGAACACATCTAAAAAGTAATCATTACTTTTTAATAAGTAAAATAAATATTGCACTTGTTACATAATACATGTATAATCTTTACACTCATCTGTATATGTTAAAAACTTTCAAGAAGTGCTATTATATGAAAACAAGCTTTACAAGAAAGTGTTCTGAATTCATGATAAGGGAGTACTATAGGCCTACAGGCCTTAACACTTGCCCTAGTCAATTAGTGTCACCCCAACCTGAGCCAAATGAATTTTAATAAATGTTACTACAGTACATGTATGTGTTAGCAACATCATGACAAGTAATTGTGATAGATAACCTGCAGTGGATACAGCAAATATCGTGTAATAAGTTCTTAAAGTGGTATTATGCAGATTCACTCCAGCCTTTGACTCCGGTGAGCTAAAAAATGAATCTTTATCACTGAATGATGCAGGTGACTGGCAAGTTTTTGTGATACTGTTCAGTGATTTTGGCGAGGTCAAAATTTTAAAGTATTTTAATTTGCAAAATTAAAATAAATCTTCCTTTCTGAAAGTAAATTCAGTAAATGTCCAGAGTTGTGTTGACTTTTTTTTATAACAATGGAATCCATAAACTTCACTAAAACCTGGTCAGCTTGATAGGAAAGTTTTCAGTCACCAAATGGTTGTCTTGAAACACAATAACTATGTTGATTTCAAAGTCTGAAAAGAAATTGAAACGTGTTGTACACAATCATGTACAAGTACAGATATGTACTACAATTATGACTTCAATTGATTCATTAATTAAATTTAATTTATTTTTACCTGCCAAGAGTACAAACAATATACTTACCAACTTTAAAATTATTTGTTGAAAGTGTTGGGCAGGTAAAAAGTCGAGGAAAAATCATCCATATAGGAATAGAGATACCACGGCATACGTCTCCATCAGCTATCTGTATATTCTGGATCTCTGTGGCTGTATGAAAAGAACATTTCTCAGTTTGACATTTTCAAATGTAACACACTTTTAAGCATGCCATATAATTATGATTTAACCTGGCGTCTCTGCTCTTTTTTTTTTAGCTCTATTAAATCTAAGGCTCAAGTGAGCTTTTCTGTTCAAAGTTTGTTGTCCACCAGGCCTGTCTGTTTATTTGAAAATATCTCAAACTTTTTCACATTTTAAACTTCTACAGAACCATTTGGCCAATTTTAATCAAGGATCCTTCAAAGAAGGGGATTCAGATTTGTTCAAATAAAGGGGATGGAATAAAGAAATACTGAAGATAGGGTTGGGCATGCATGTATTCTTATTTGTTCATTAGCATGGAAGTCATGTGCATGTGAATAATGTATTTTTTCTACAATGTTGAATCTCAGCCAATGAGAAAGCTAGGGATTATCCAATCATATAATAATATACAATTAATGACTTGGAAGAGGTCTACTTATGACTATATGGACCTGGCCAGGTATTGGTCGACAAAGACCGAGGTTAACTAACACCTGACCAGCTCTGTATAGTCATGAGTTGACCAAAACAAAAGTCAACAACAGTTTTATTAAATGATCAGGAATTTTGCAACATTTTTCACACGATAATTCTTACTTCAAAAAAATATAAACACTCCTAATATAATGTGATGTGTAACAATATATATATTTATATTTCAACAGTTTAACAACTGTCTTAAAAGTGTTATTATCATTAAACTATAAATATTCAACCATATTCAAATAAAGGAGCTTAGTCTTTTTGATACTGGTATCTGCTGTTTTCACGTTTACAACAACACATGCTTCAAAATGCACAATTTGACTGGTTGATGAAAATGTAAGTAAATCTATGATTTGTCAAGAGAGAAAACCCAAATAAACCTCCCAGAACTTCACTTGGAGGTGGACTGATCAACTCACTCAGAGGTACACCTCAGAAAAGAGTCTGGATCAATCAGAGAGCATCAAAAGTCCTGATCATTTAATAATAACTAATTTAATACAAACAGCCTTCTCTAAATAGCAGAACCAAGATGATAAAGGTGAGCATTGTGGCCTATTGGTCTCTTCTTACAATGATCATTTATATACTATACATATCATATATTTAGGCTTGTGCAAGAAAACATACCATCTTTGGCATACCCCTCAGCACATCCACAGGTTTCCACTCGTACCAGCTGAATTTCTATTGATTTGATTTGTGTGTCACAATGTTCAACTGTTAGCTGCAAATCAAAAATAAATCAAAATTTCAATATCAATTCTTATTCACTTCTTTTATGCTTCTAAATATTGAATAAAATATAATACATAGCCACTCACTTATCAGGTAGGCCGAAGGATATGTTGATATGATTATCACTACTTGAACATCTAAAGACACAATGCCCATGAAATTTTGTGCTCAATAGGTTGTTGATACTGTTTTTTTACAGCACAAGTAATTCTTATGCAGAGACATCAACAATCAACATCTCTCTGATGAAAAATCATTGTTGTTACCTTAATGTATCCAATGGTGCATTCAAGATCATAGTGACTATGTAGTTCTACATAGAGGAACGAAATCCTAGCCTAGCTACTACACTACGTAGGGCCAAATAAAAAAATTTGTGTTTCTGGTTACATGCAAAAAAAAAAAAAAAAAAAAAAAAATTTGATGACCTTCGAGTTATCTTTCCTCTGAGTGGCTTTGTAATGACTTTGAAATAACCTTTCCTCTGAGTGGCTTTGTGATAACCTTGAACTTACCTCTCCTCTGATGCCTTAGTGATAATCTTGGACTTACCTCTCCTCTGATTGGCTTTGTGATGACCTTAGATTAACCTCTCTTCTTGGTAGCTCAGTGATGACCATGGCCTCATCTCACCTCTGAGTTGCTTAGTATTGACCTTGGACTTAACCTCTCCCATGAGTGGCTTAGTGATGAACTTGAACTTACCTCTCCTCTGGGCTCTGGGTAGCTTATTGATTACCTTAGACTTACCTCTTCTCTAAGTGGCTTAATGATGATCTTTGAATTACCTCTCCTTTAAGTGGTTAAATGATGACATTTGACTTACCCTCTCCTCTGAGTGGCTTAGTGATAATTATCTACTTACCTCTCCTCAAAGTGACTTAGTAATGACCTTGGACTTACCTCTCCTCTGGGTGGTGGCTTATTGATGACCTTGGACTTACCTCTCCTCTTAGTGATGACCTTGGACATACCTCTCCTCTTAGTGTCTTAGTGATAACCTTTGACTAACCTCTCCTTGGGGTGGCTTATTTAAGACCTTGGTTTTATCTCTCCTCTGGGTGGCTTATTAAAGACCTTGGACTTACCTCTCCTATGATTGCCTTATTGAGGACTTTGACTTACCTCTCCTCTAAGTGGCTTAGTGATGACCTTGGATTTTCCTCTCCTTTGGGTGGCTAATTAATAACCTTGAACTTACCTCTCTTCAAAGTTGCTTATTGATGTCTCTCCTCTGGATGGATTAGTGATGACTGTCAGTTTATCTCTCCTCTAAAAGGTTTGGTGATGACCTTGGACTTACCTCTCTTCTTAGTGGCTTAGTGATGACCTTGAATGTACCTCTCCTCTGGGTGGCTTATTGTTGATCTTTGCCTTATCTCTCCTTTGGGTGGATTATTTATGACCTACCTTGGAATTACCTCTCCTCTGGGTGGCTTAATGATGACCTTGGACTTACCTCTCCTCTAAGTGGCTTAGTGATGCACATCACAGCTGACTCTAACTTTCCTTTGACCTTGAACTTTGGCACATTCTGTTTCTGAAGTTTAGAGTAGTAGTTTGTAAGAAGTTATATCCTTCATAATTTTTTTCACTCAAGAAATAAACAATGTTAAAAAGTCCTTCGGGCTTCACAGGATTTGATAATGTGACCAATCCAAGTTCATTTCCCAGTGAACTTTTAAACATTGTTGTTTATTTGTTATATTTACATTTGAGGCGATCAATTAGAATAAAATATTACGCAAATGGCCCGTCGTATCACTATGTTGTGACACACAGTGACCTAGAAGTTAATTGGTCTGGAAAGTTTGCCTAGCTCCAACATTTGAATATTTACATTGATGTTTAGCAATATAGGTAGTTCAGGAAATCTCTGTTTATAATGATAGAACAATAATCGGTACTGAGAATAATCTTACTATTTTATGTGTTCTTTACATATGTGAAGTCAAAAGTGATATGGTCTATTTAAGTTTACATACCTTCAAAGGAATTTTGGGTTAAAAAAAGGAAAGCGCGATATTAGGCTAATAATATTATTCAAAACATTCTTCACTACGAAGGAAGATCTAATGGACATCTGTTGATTGAAAAAATATCCATCTGTATTAATTATTTTTATCTTTTTCATCTCTATGAAGTTAGAAGTTCCAAAACCAGTTTCACTGTCACAGAAATACATGTATGTAGGCAAAATCATCTCGCCGTGTGAATGGGTCACGCTATGCACTTTGACCTCTAACTCTCTAATAAGTTCATACAGAATTGAACATATTTTCTCTTCATTATGTTCATCTAAGAAAAATATTTGCAAATGTAAATATAAGAAGTTAATTATAAAATTAGATAACATTTCCATTTGATTTTCTACAAATCCATTATGACTAAGGGTAGTCCATATATTAATATCTAAAAAAGGTAAGGTTGACAAGCTGTGGATCAAAATATCAAGTACCAAAATATTTCTTAAAAATCCTGGGATTTTACTCTGTTGTCTGTATTTTTAATTTTATTTCTTCTACATGCAGAGGTTTCGGATAAATAAAGTACAAGACATGAAATAGCAGGTAATACGATACTGAGCATTTTCATGAAGAATGGATGATTACAAACAATATTCAAAGCTCTCTGTCCCACTTAAGATATTTGTAATTTTGTATGTTGATCACAATAGGAGAATTACTCAGTGGCATACACTGAAGGTCTGTTTGAAATGACAAGAGTAATTAAAATATAATTATTATAATGCTCCTGTTTATGTTAACTTTTATGCTGATATGATGAATTTGTTTTAATTAGTAATTTGAAATATTTGACTCCTACAGATTATAAAGTGTCAGTAAGTGGGAAATACATATATTATTACCAAATAAATACAAGAGGTAATGAAGAAAAAAAACTAGCACACTCTGGCAAGCTTACTTCTTTAACATTTGTCAGCGTCTCTGGTGAGATTGTGAACTGTACAGGTTTTGGTGTTGATTTGGCTTTCTCCTGTCCATCCTGTTCATAAATAAACATATATACTTAGAATTGGTCATTGGTGCAACATAATGTGTATAATAACAAAAATTTATGAATTTAACATTATTGTAGACAGTCAATGCGTTTTAAACTAGAAAGATTTTAAGAACAATGCAAGATGGCAGTAGTGTTTTATGTCATTTGATCATTTTACTACCAATTTCTAAATGTATATCATAAAAAATATTTAAAAATTATATTTACTGGAAATAATACCACCACAAAGGCAACTGATATGCTCAACAGGAAAACAGGGCTTATCATAAATTAATTTAGATCCAGTATGTAACATGCCTAAAGATACATCAACTGACAAAGTTTAATGATCCTAGGCTTCATAATGTAGTTTCATACTGTGCATAAAAACTTGTAGGTACATGTATAATCCGAATGTGAATTTCAAAATAAGGTAAATGGCAATCAAACAGGTTTAGTGATTCATACTGTACAAAGATTTCACCCAGACATTACTTGACAGTGAAAACCAAACAAATATGTAAAGCACTAATCAATACTGGTAGAAAGATCCAGGTGAATTGTACAGTCAAACCTATTTATCTCAAACTTGATGGGACGGAGAAAAAAAAATTCGAGATATCCAAGGGTTCAAGATATTTAGAGTAAAATACTTGAAGAAAAAGTGCTTGGGACTTCCTTTGACATATCTATGGTATTTGAGATATCTGTGTTCCAGATACCTGAGTTCAACTGTATATGGCCTGTAATAGTAATGTGAGGACTAATTCTAAACCAACCTTTTTGTTTTTCTCTGAGTATTCTACAATAAATTCACAGGATTTCTGTAAATCCTTCGCAAGAAGAGGTCTCTTCATTTCTGCTTTTAATGAATACTGAAATTTTTAAAACAACATGAATCAATATTTCATAATTTAACCCTATAGACAATAAAGGCCTTGTCAATAGTAATAATGGAACAATACTCTTGCTGTCTAGCTAATGATCATATAACTGATAGCGAAACTGGTGTCTTGTGAATGAATGCAATGCAATCATCACATGAAAATAAATCATGCTTTAAAGTTTTGAAATACAAATGCTTTTCACCTTTGTACAAATGAAGATTCTTAACTTTAGATGTATACCGACATACCTGTATATTGACAAAAACTCCATGGTAAGTTTCATATAGTTCTTTATTTCCTTTTGGTTTTAATGGAATTTCAAATGGAATTTCAGTTCTTCCACCGGGCAATTTTCCTGGCTTTGCAATGTCCAAAGAATAATTAATCAACTGCATTGGCTGTAAAAAAAAATGTCACCAAAATATACATGTACTTTTATTATGAATTCAAAGAGAAAATTAGTCCCATTTAGTGAAATATTGGAGAGGTATAGTAACCTATGTGTGATTAATAAAACAGTATGGGCTTTTTAGTAATGGTTCATACCAGTTACTGCAAGAGCTGCATCAGTTTAGAAAAGATCAAGGTGAAAAGTCTGTCAATTGGCATGATTAGTTTAATACTATATTTATGCTTTTGTTTGCCTCCCAGATGAAAGAGCAGTAGTACCAAGCCTGGTGAGGACAATGTTCTATTTACATGTACTTGAAATAAATGAATCATGTGAATTGTATTTATTCAGATTCAAACCTTCAATGAACTGTAGAATGCTTCAAACAGACCAACACTCTTTGCACTGAGTTGCAGATTCACTGAACCTTCCATCATCAAAGTGATGCCTTGATGGGCTACTTCACTTTTTCCAGCATCTATACATATTGCACCCTTTACAAGCTCCTAAATGAAAAATTTAGCATGCATTTGTGTAGAAATCTATTTAAACAATTGTGGATTTAGGACAAATAAAACATTATAATTGGGTATGAACAGAAGAGGTGTGTATAATATCCTTTCACTTATCTGCTCCTTGCATAATTCCAATGGTAATGCCGTGCTATAAATGTTGAAAAAAACTCCTCTGAAGTGGAGACCCTAGGTTGAATGCTCTAATTGTTAAAATGATAAATATCCTACAGACCCGGTGGTGAGGGTCTGTCCTGAGACACTGTTATATTATTCTAACTACGGAGACCCCTTGTCATTGGTTGAAATGCTGTTCAAGGCAAGGGAGATAATTTTCTGATGATGTAATTTTCGTACAACTTAACAATTTTTCAAGATTTTCTTTCGTAAAAAAATATGACAAAACGAACAATGGAAATTGGCAGTAATTAATTCGAAATCTGGTTGAACGAGACTATGAAATAACATGCTAGTTTTTTTATAGCAATTACCAAAAAACATACGTTTCTATATTTTCATTGTAAACAGAATTGATCTTTATTGCATGCAAGCTTTACAGCTTGTGTGTATTCTTTTTTCTCTTTGTTTTGCACTGTCTTTCTAATCTTATAGGCAGCACTCGGCAAACCTCAGCCGATGCATTCCTCATCTACATATCACAAAGGTCACGGAATCAGCCAAGATTTGCCGAATAATCTCGACAGCAGAGTTGAAGTTTACAGAGACAGTCGAGCATCTGGCTCCAGGGCCATAAAACTTAGACGAGCTCACTTTTGATCTCAGTCTTACTTTTCCACTATTAATTCCTATTGTAAAAGTTAGACTGAGATAAAACTATAAATGAAGAAATACAAAGCCGAGAAATTTTCAAGAATTATACGGCCCGATAGGTTTAGATCAGTACACTGTTTAAGGTTGTTGCTAAAGACGGTAAGCTTTTTTAAAAGCTCTACTTGGTTTTGTTTCCTGTGTCCATACCTAGTATACCTGCATAAGTCAGGCCCCCTTGTAGTGGGTGTAATAAACCTGTTGTGCAAACCTTATTGAAGTATTACAGACTTGCACCTGAAACAAACTTGCATTGAGAAGACATGATATTCAATATAACTAGAGATGAAGAAGAGATATACCTACCCCTTCTTGATACACCTTATTGGCTTTTTTCAATTTGATGTCTAACGTCGCCATTTTCTAGTCATGTGACTAAGAGTCCCTTTCATCATTAACAAAAGCGTCTGAATATGTATAAAAATATGATTTGACTAAACTTTAAATACATGTTTGATTTTTTTATCCAAAATTTCAATATCGTAGAACATTGTTTTCCATTGTTTGAAGATATAGGTTTATTATATTTGATATAGGAGTTTTTCGAGTAGGTTTACCTCCCTCCGTATTGAAATTTATACTACACTATTTCAAACAATAAACTTTATATTCTATGAAAATTAGTTTGTGCATATAAAAGTACAAATTTGTGCGTTTTTGTTATTTTTAAATGAATTGTCATATACTTTCAGTTATTTCAGAAAATCATATTGATACGTAACTATTTATTACAAGGGTTCTTTAGATAACAGCCGTTGCTATCAACGTCGCTAAGGAAATTTACCTGAGTTTTCTCACCTGTTTTGGGAAGAAAATATATGAACGGTATTGGTCACGCAAAATCAAATACATTGATAGCGACTACGTAATGTAACAAGTGAAAAACTTTTTTCACAATAGTTTTACTATACTAATCCACATCTGTGGAATAATTGAGAATGGCCTCTTGTGATGTGGATTTCTTGACGGAACAATTTCCAGATAACGTATCAATCAGTGATTTGTGCGACTGTGGGTAAGTGTACATATAGACGATGTTTAATCATAATGTATACATACTGCTTTTCTTAATTAAAAAAACAATACATACATTAGTAAATTGCTGTATGCGTTGCATGAGGCATTATAACGGATTATGCACTGATCGAGAGATGTAGAAATCGCGAAATTCTGATAGTCGCTGTACACATATTATATTCCAAGTTCAGCTTAACTGCTCTACGAAAACATATTATCTTTTTAAATTGATTCTGTTATACCGGCTAGGCATTATATTTGATATGCATCTAGAAATTGTATGCTTGAAATGTCCAGAGGTGTAGATGAAACATGCATGAATAGGTTAATTCCTATTTTACTTAATATTCATTTTAAAATCAAGTATATAAAAAATAAATAATTTACATTGTATTCTAGGCCCAATTGTGATGTTGTAAGGTGAGATGGACATTGTGACCCATTCTATCAGAACCCCTTGTATTGTCCAACCTTTCATTAACAGTTTCAGATTCCTTTGAAAAAGTCTCATTTCCAACCCTTTCACTCTTTCCTTATGATCATCTGAAGTTAACATGTAGAATTTTAAACATAACATCAGTTGTTCACGGTTAAAGTGTTTGCATTTCAATGTGTTTGTATTTCATTGTGTTTTGTTTTGAAGTTAAATGGAATCTCCATCCTATCCCAGTACTCGACTGTTACTTGAATTAACCACATATTCATAGTCATATACAGCACACTATTAACCGCAGCTTCTGTTTATAAAAATATTAATGTCGCGTTATTGAGATTGATTTATTTGCTGTTTAAGATTTTTGGAGCAATATGCCTTGGATATTTTAGTCAAATTCAAATATCTTCAATGATAAGGAAATCTGTGTTATGTTCCAAACACTCATTTCAGTGTTACTGAATTTTTGGTACATCACGATCTTCAGTATTTTTCAAGTGTAGATCTTATATATTCAACATCTGATGGTATCAAATATGAAACACACACACACACCACACACACACACACGAAAGAAAAAAAAAATATGAAAAAGAAATTAAGAATAAAGCCTGATTTCACACCCACTTGTAAATACATTTGTAAAGCCCGTCTCCTATTTTCTTTTGAAAAGGGGAGGGGGGGGGGGCACGAAACATTCGCAGACCATGATTGAGAATAGTCTAATTCTACTGTTGTGTCAACTTAATCCTACCTACTTAAATTCTCTAAAGCGGATTCAGGTACACATAGAGGGTCCCAGTGTGGAGTAGATTTAATTTAATTAAAAAACACATGGTTGGTAAAAAAGCTTTGGAGATAACATTTAAGTTTAGCTTTTACACGCGAAAGAAAAATGACAGGAAATCAATACGTAATCTTTCAAGTTTATTTTTCAGGTTACTTATACTATCGCCTTTTGATTAAATTGATAATTTTTTTTTCTTCTCCGTCAATCGAAGTATAATAGTATTTTTGGTTTTCCCAATCACTGAGTTTCATTTTTTATATCAGAAAACACAAGCGAAGGAAACAGAATGTTCCCATTCCCCGGAAGTCGGGTCCTTTTCCGGAGTCGGACTACGCCCGAACCTTTAAGGCCGTGGAGCATCCCCGCCCACGTTCCAGTAAGCGTCCCCCACCTTCCCCGACGGTAAGAGACCGTCACTCGGCTCCCATGATGTTCTCCACAAATCAAAGGGACGAATTCAAGTCACATGGTGCTGTTGAAAGGACAAAACCTATCATTCCGGTAATTTAATTTTAACACTCAATGTTCTCATACATATAGAGACTATCCTCATTCATAAAAACATACACATGCGGCATTTGTTACAAGTACTCATATGTGATATCAGGTTGTAGCGTAAATTACCAACCGACACAAGAACTTTCTTCGTTATAATAAATTGGGATCGAGGTTTCCACCAGTGTTTAAAGTTGTATCTAAAATTTAATTTACGGTTCATTAGGGTTCTATTTCTAATATTTTCATTTTCATACCGATTTTTCTTTCAAATACTTAATTGATATAAAATAGAGAGGTATTTGAAACCCAACAAACAACTTTGAATTCACTGTTAATACATTTATTGATCAACGAGCTGTTAGGTGCCATTGATTATAAAATATTCCATATGAAACAAGGATAATTGAGGGTCATAAATTTAGGTTTGTAAATACAACTGCTTTGATAATATTCACTCTAATAATAAAATCAATACTTTTGTGAAAGGAAAATTTAAATTTTAAATTATAGACAGAGAACTATGAGGCTGTGAATGTCCCAATCGAAAAGACCACCTCCTACGGTCAGGAGTTTACCCCCAAACAAGCACAGCCTGAATTTAGGCGAATGGAGCCCAGAGGAACGGTCCAGATTCCAGATGCCAAGTTTGATGCACACACAACTAACAAGGATCATTTCAAGCAGTGGATAGCACAGCCGACCATGCATTTTCAAGAGCTTCCTAGTTTTACAGGTATGTGGAGAGAGAGAGAGAGAGAGAGAGAGAGAGAGAGAGAGAGAGAGAGAGAGTCTCAATTTTGGATTCAAGGAATATATAGAAAAAAGGAAGACTGAGTTTGTGAGCTAAGCGGAACATTATATATTACTTTGATTTTTTTTTTTTTGGCTAAAAATATGTAAATGTTAAACTTCCATATTTAAAAAAGAAAGCATTAGATAGAGGAAAAATAAAGTAGGAAAATATATATATTTTTAAATCAATATTAATTCAGTACAAAAACAGAGCTTTGACATTACTCTCCTCTGCAAATTCATCGCGTAATGAAAGTACTGAAATACTTTTCAGGGTCCATTTTATTTCCGGAGAAAAACAAGTTACCCCCTAGTGAAACGATGCAGCAGTTTAGGGGGGAATTTATCAAGAGACCTGAAGCTGTACGGCTAGCAGACGCAAACATAACATTGGAAGGTATTTGTTATACATTGTATAATTATTCTATTATTTATTCCTTCATTTAAATGTATTAGCATTGTAATTTTTGGAATTCTCAAAACTTTACATTAAAAGATAGTGCATGACAATTGTTTTCTTAGGTGATATGCTGATGACAACAACAAATAAAGACACATACAAGAATATACAGGGAGATCACCGTGCTGAGCGCATCGTCAGAAAACCAACCCTACACGCCTCTAAAAAACTGGGCAAATTTGAGACAGAAACACAGAATAGAAGAGATTTTCCTGAGTATGCTGGCGCTAGGCCCGCCAGGCTAGCCGAACCGGCTCCAGAGACTATCGACCTTCGATTCGACAACAAGTAAAAAATATTTGTTTTGTTTTTTTAAAGTTCCAAACATTACTGGTATCAAAATAAGGATTTATTGAAAGGGGAAAATAAGAATACATACACAGTAAAAACCGTACATGTAATTAATAGAAAATGTCAAAAAAGGAAATGATTAAGAAAAAAATTAAAGTTACTGCAAAATAATAAGCGCATACACTGTGATGTTGTATATTACGGGGATGATTATTACACAGATCTTGACCATGAGGGCTAAATATGATTTGTTGAAAAAAACACAGCTGTCCTCGGCTATCTTTACGTGAAGGGAATCTTCCTGCGCATTTACATGTACATGGGTTTTTTCCCGTCATCTTCAAAATTAACAACTAATGCGGGTCATTAATGTTGATATTGGATCGATATAGGCGTCACAGCCAGTCCAATATTAAAATTGTTGGACCGCCCTCAACATCCGATTTATTGGACTTATATGTTTTATATGGGATTGTATCGGTAGTATTTTTTAGTGAAATATTTGTAAGGGTATAACAAACAATACATTGTTAATCAATGGCGTATCAAAAAGGTTTAACTGAAGTTTTATCCTTTGATACGTAAAAATTTTTATTTAGATGAAATTTGAGAACTTTTACGAGATATAAAGCTGATTTTTTCTGAGGTTATATTCTATAAAACTATAATCATGATATATGAATCGTCTTAGATTTACAAGATAATTGCCGTTTAACTTCAATAAACTATTGTAGGATGTATTTTTTTCTTCCTGTCAACAAACGTTAAATCAAATTCACTTCACAGAGGTCATTAAAAAAATAAATATTAATGTTTAATGATTTAAAAAGACCATTTATCTATATCTGTGAGTGATATTGATCAATTTCAGGAGAAGCTTTCAGACAGAACAACGTACTATTTATAGAGGGCACAACATACTGCAAAACCCCGCGCCTAAACCAATCAGACACGATTTAGGGGATTACAACCCACCATCTGTTAAATTTGAAACAGAAACTTCAAATAAGGTTAGCAAGATAACTTATATTTTTGAAAGATAACAATATCTGTGTGTATCTATATTTTTCTTATCCATAAGTAACGTAATTGTAAGCGAGTATTCGGTGAATACCAGGTATTTTGTTTCGACGGAATTTTGTGTATAAAAACCATGATTTGATTTTAACATAGTTGAAGTCATGCATATTCACTTCTTACTCTATGATGGCTACTGCCTACTGATATAGAAAGCGCTGACTAAATAATATTATTCCTTTTCCAGAGGGATTTCCAGCCAATAGATATCACTGCCAATCTAACACACAAAGCAACTGTTCCACATTCAACAATCAGGGTACCTGATGTTAAATTTGACGGTAGAACCAGTTTTGGAGAGTTTTTTAAGAACTACGGTCCCGTCAAACGAGAAAGGTACGGGGACTTCCATGAAAACCGACCCTATATTCCTCCCCAGACAAAGTTTGATGGAGCAAGTACAACAAAATCGACTTTCGTTCCCAAGAAATGGGAGCCGACTAAACCATTCGTTCCAGAAAACAAACCAATAGAAGGCCAAGGTGAAATAGATTTCAACACTGTCCATAAAGAAACATACAAGAAACCGAAAGTTAAGCCATGTAAAGCTGAAATATATCTTATCCAGAAAGAACTCAGGAGGCAAAAAGCTTTGGAGGCAAGCGCGGTAGCGGCCAAGTAAGCATGTCACTCAAAGCCCGTGTCAAGAGGAAACATGGTTGATTCTTATCCAGAGTCCAGATTTTTCTGTTGATTTATACGAATATTATGTAAATGGTCCTTGCTATGTTAAATCAACTGGAACACAACATTTAGTGATTTGCACCTTACACAAATTGTCTCCATACGATGTCTACATGATAAGTATGATGCTATATTGATGTAGTCTTTGTTTTTATTTTCACAGTGACTGTAATTTTTTAACCACTGCTTTATTTTCAATATGTTTTTATGTAAATTTTCATACATATATTTCTTGTTAACATTTTCATTTTCAACTAACATATATTTACATATTACGACAGTATTTTATAAATAAATATATATATATATTTTTTTTTTTTACACATTTCATGCATGTATTTCTAATGGTTTCATAAAAAATATTCCATTGAGTGATGACTATACGCTTGGTAAGACTGCTATATGTTTTATGTCTTTACATGTTATGTTTTTGAATTTTATCTTATATTAAAATATTTGTTACATGATGTTGTTTTCCATTTCTGTAGACACATCGAATTTAAATTTGGAAACCTTGCAAGAAGCAGGAAAAAACTTGCTTATAGTTTAATCAGATTCAAACAGAAGAAAGCAGCAATTCTAAAAAGCTAGAATTATATATTTGCTTAGGGAGGATAACTTAGCAAATCATGACATCAAATAAAACAAACTAAAGCTAAAAGGGAAAAAAATAGTTTATTGTTAGATTGCTTCGATTGATCAGTTATTGCACATGCGACTTGCGAAAAATTGTCATGAAGGTATTACCAATTTTCCCTCTACGTAACTCAGGCGGAAATTAGTAGAGCGATCATACAAAGTAAACCAAGTAAATACACATATATACTCTTGGACCTCTTTTTTATTATTGTGCTCCAACACCCTTATGGTGCCCCTTTCCCTCCAAGCATCATTAAATTGGGCAATACTGCCATTATTTAGACAAACTTTATAAAAACGTCTTTCTTGGAAGTTAAACAGGCAATAAACTTTTACATATATCTTTAAGAAAATATAAATAGCTTAAATTTTAAATGATGAAAAATATTTTTTTTTTTAAAAAACAAATTATACATTTGGGTTCAAGGTAAGATTGATGTAAAGCAAATTGGCCGCAAAAACATTTTCGCATTTCAAAATATTTCAACAAGAAATTAAGAGCCAAGGAAATACACATGTAATCATAAACTTTTGATACGACACATCTTTATTTCAAAGTAGACATCAGATACACATCACAAGACAAGATCAGCAGAAATGGCACAGCTTTAATTTTCAGTGCAAATAAATTATAATTCACTTGTATGAAAATCAGAGATAAAGAACAGGTATGTATTGAAATCAAACGAAAAAGAAGAATGTAATATCCTTATACCCAAAATATGTAAAGTAACACTTACTCTTATACACCCCCATGCTGGGGAGTAAAAATGAATTCAGAATGTAAATCAATTTTTAAAATCTTTTCTATGTGTTATCGATTAGGAATTATTTCATCAAAATCAATTTAAAAAAAGTCTCATTTCATCATGTGCACTTTCTAACACAAACAAGAGCACCGGGAAAAAAGTTCTAGCATATACATGTTGCTTTAAAGCATCAACAAATTTGATCAAATCGAATTTGAGGAAAATCTGTGACTTTGCGTGCCACGGCTCATATATAAAAAATAATTACAGAGATTTGCTCCCTAAAAACACAGTTCCAACATATTTTTAAGTTTCAGTTCAATTAATAATTATTATATACAATGTAATTACTTTGCACTACAATGTATATCAATTTTTGTCTAAAACATTTATTTTTATAATTATCAAAAATGCAAATTCAAGTCTCTAAAAATAACTACATGTAATTGTATTAATATAAACAAATACATATGGCTAATATATGTGCCTTCTTATTTGTCCGAAAGTCGGCTTAACTAAAATGGGAATTTATTTCCTACGTGTACCGGAGTTTCTCAGCTAAGGTGAGATGGGAATAAGCCGAACAAAAGAACAAAGTTACAATTACATGTATGTATAAAAATGACTTGTTTTAAAAGAAAAAATTGAAAAAAAAGAATGGAGAACAATCTGAAAAGACTCAATCCATAGACAAGGAACAGATCGGAGTATCAGAGGACACAATCCATAGACAAGGAACAGATCGGAGTATCAGAGGGACACAATCCATAGACAAGGAACAGAACGGAGTATCAGAAGGATGGCAATGACCCAACATGTGATTGTAGAATGATCAAAGCCACCGCCTTAGCGATATCGTTTTGGATTTAAAAAAATGGAAACTTTCAAAAAAATTACTAGCATTTACAGTTGTATTTTTTAAAAATTATATAGAGGATATTCAATGATTTGTAGTTGGATATGGAATTTATTTCACGAGTGGGACAGGTTTTTTGATATTTTCAGGAGTGCGAAGCACGAGTGAAAATATAAAAAAAAATCCTGCCTCACGAGTGAAATAAATTCTATATCCAACTACAAAACATTGAATTTTCTGTTTATTACATTTTGTTTGATTTTCCCTTTGCCTCTGTCTTTTCTTAACACAGTGTCATAGGCTGTGATGTCATAGATGAGCAGTTGAGATGTCATAGCTGAGCAGTTGTGAGATTGAAAACATTGTAACATGGATTTTAAAAGCAACACATTTGGGAAGAAAATGGCAGTTTTAGTCTTCATTAAGATGATTTAGTTACTATATCTATCTTATTACAGGCCAGAAATTATTTTTTAATTACTTTGATATCCTTTCACACTGTGAGAGAATATCACTTTGGTATACTTTCACACTGTGAGAGAATATCACTTTTATTCAATAAATGAATCACAGTATTTCACTACTGAAAATGTAATAAAGTTTAATAATATGCTACTGCTATTGTTTAATACTATGTACACGTATACCACACACACACACACACAAATCGATGCATGCGTCCGTTAGTTCATAGCTGAGTAAATATAAGAAATATAAGTTAATAGATATAAGAAATAGCAAATCAGATCTTGGGTTGGACAGAGGTAGGGTGACCTTAAAAAGTTATCCAGTTCAACAATACAAGGACTAGTATTCGGTCAGATTGGCATATTTGTACTTGGACTTGTCAAATGAGCCATCGCCCATCTTATCTGCTGATGGTTTAAGCTTTTATAATAGCTTTCGATACAAACACAAAGATCAACCCCCTTATGATTTGATAAGGGTTACGGCATATTGTGCAAAGGTGAACAAAACATTCGAAAATTGTACAAAAAATCTAAGATAACTAATACAAAACACAATTCATATTTCTATTTCCTGGGGAATAAAAAATTAATTTTTGTATTGTACATAGAATATATTAAAATATGAACAATGAACATGATAATATTACGCTGCAACCTTAAAAAATAATATAATGTTGAAATCTGGTGTATATCAAAATAAAACATATGTAAGAAAAACTGCAACTCACATAATGAAACAACTAAATCAAAGCTTGAATCAGATCGTAGGAAAAAAAATGCATTTCCAAGTGTAATTCTTCATCCATTGAAGAAGTGCATTTCAAACTTTCCTCAAACACAATGTTTAGAATACTTTCTTCATTAACAAAGGTATCATGATAAAAAAAAGTCGAAGTCGTGATAGGACATCTATAGAAATACCATACTACAGCCATACCAAGACAAAACAGATATTAATTTTAGAATCATGTGTGCAGTTTGTTATTTCAGTATGAGTTATACATAGCACATTTCAGGAGTGCCTACGTCATGATGTTGTCCTCAGGACTTAAGTCCGCAACTCGTGTCCAAGGGCTTCATGACGAAAGGCCTTAGTCGGGAATGCACTGTTATGGATATTGGAACCCAAACAAACACAAACAAACTTCGTGGACAGACAAACAGGATCCTTAATTTAATGGATTTTGGGTGTGCTGCTCTCCTTCAAAAGTCTTGGAACTTTCACCAGACAGTCACAAAAAAGTTGTTGGGCTTAACATTCATTTTGAGGAATCTATGTAATGGTGTAACGTGAGGGGAGGTGTTCAGTTCCAAAGTGATATTTTTCCTTTACGGTGTTCATACTTAAATTACTTAATAGGACTGTGATTCTAAGAACTTTATCGCCAATAAATATGTATTTTTATATTAATGTTTCAATACTCCTTGGTAAGTACTTAATTCTGTATATTGCATTCCGTATGATCAATAAATACGATTTTTTATTTTTTTGTCTTGGTTAATAAGCGAATGCATATTTTGAATAGTACAGAAATTATTTTGAATTTGTCTTCTGCTTTTATAAAATAAAATTTATTAATGTCCTCATTTTTTCTCTCAGCAATTTTTCTACAAGACTCTTTACAATCACGTAAGTATTTATTAATCAGTCATTTCCAAAATAAACTGATAACCTAATATCGATCACTATATGTAGTAATGTTAATTTTTACTATAATTAACTTGATATATTGCTTATCTTTTATTTGTTATGTATATTTTTCAATTTAACTTGGAAGAAAGCAAATTCATTTGTGAGAACCAAACGGGCAGCCTTACCTGTTCAAACAATGATGTCATTACAATCCGATCTATAAATTTTGGAAGAACAAGTCCGACTGTTTGCGGAAATGACCCTAATACTTATTGCTACTCCTCTGGAAAGGTCACCGGAAATGTTGCCAGGAACTGCAATAACAAAAATTCGTGTCAACTGACGGCATCTTCCTCAAGTTTGGGGGAGAACCCTTGTTCTGGGACACTTAAGTACCTGGACATCCAATACGACTGTAATCCACCACCCACAACCACCACCACCACCACAACTACCACTACAACCACCACTACCGCCCCTCCAACCACACTATCACAGTCAACCTCGCAACAGTCAGCCTCTATTTCAAGTCCAAATGCTGGTACCATTAATATTCTTACAATTTTGATGAGTTGCATAGTTAAACGTTCAAAAGAAATGAATTGCATTCATTTATAGCCCCACTTAGGAAAAATAAAGTAGCTGGATTGCATTTTGTATCAAATTTCCTTTTAAATTAAAATAAGCAAAGCTTGTTCCTAGGAATATCTTAGACACTGTAATGGAAATATGAATTTTCATCAATAGCTGGCCCACAAGTTTGTCATGAGTTCCTGGTATCAGGCAGCAACGGAGTACCCGATAATAAATTGACAGCTACAAGCACGTGGTCCAATTCTTCCAACCAAGACGACAAGCCGTACCGGGCGAGACTCTTCAATTCCGGATTTAACTTTGGGAACGGAACGTATCTTATTGGGGGATGGGTAGCAGGTGTCAACGACAAGAATCAGTATATTCAGGTATTTATTTGATTAAATGAAACAGCCAAAGTACACATTTTATAGAGAAGGCCACATAGTTTGCCGCCAATAAGATATTAAAAATTATGTGTACGAGCAATATTTTGATGTTCGTCTCCAAATGAATTTCATTTTCCATTTAATATTTATTTGTAAATTGGTGGTTTTTTTCTGTTTTGCAAGTCAATTATAAGATGATGGTGTCTATAAGAATGTTGGAACCATTAACGAAATACTAATAATTTCCTTAACCACGTCATGTGTCGTTATTTTTTGCCGGGTTGCTTAGCTTTCGAAGCCAATATATTTTTCATTCTTCCCCGGATATATCTACTTCTGGATGCTTTATCTCTTTGTTTGTTCATACAGGCAGAGTTTAATTCCGTTAGTGTCATCAGAGGCGTGGTGACACAAGGACGCAATGTCAACACACAGGACCGGTGCTGCCATCAAAAGGTCACCAAATACAAGGTCATGTACAGTGTGGATGGGGTCACGTACCAAACTGTCAAAGATCACAACGGCAATGACGTAGTAAGAATTATTCCGCTATTTAGTCGTCACGTGACTTAAGACGGTATTGGAAACAATGGGTAGAAGTAATAAATTCTTTAATTGTAGGTGTATATTGGAAATACCAAAGACGAAGAACTTGAGATGACAAACATGTTTGGATGTCCAATTATTGCTAAATATCTTCGCATTCAGCCTTTAGAATGGTCATCCCACATCGCACTTAGGTTTGACGCTATTGGATGTAGGGCTACAACAGGTGTGTAACAATAATCTGTAACACTGAATGTTCTCTGGTTTTGTCTCTTATATTTTTTTGTCTTTTAAAAATACTTTTTTGTCATCCCTAAATAAAGATAAATTATTATACATAATTTCTAGTGAGTAATCAAATACATATATAAATGATGCATAGTTACAAATATGCTATTATTTGTCAATACTCAGAAGATATATTTTAGATCCATATGGACAGTGTCCACAAGGTTGGAAGGAAAGACCGGGGTCCAAAACCTGCTACTTGATAACAACCAATCAGGCCCTGGGATGGAGACAGGCTAGGCAGCGTTGTAAACAAGAACAGGGAGATTTGGTCAAGATAGATTCCGTTCAAGAAAGGGTATGCATATTCTAAGTGCACCTATAGTCTGCGTTTTGACCTCTGACGTTTACCGTCAGCACATGATGGGGTATCACGAACTACCGATAACACACCCAAAGACATTTGAAGTGGGTTGTGGAATTAAGACAACAAACTGATTTTACTCACAATTTTTCGACAGTTTTCGTGGTGGGAATTCTCCCAAATTTTCATTAAGAGATTCATCATGACTTAAAATAAGTACTCTACGTCAAAAACATAAACTTTACCAAGGCAGTGGTCCCATTCTTACATATGAAATATTATTTGGCAAGTCAAAGATATTATCCGCTACATGGATCTTCTTGTTTTCCAAAATAGGACTGGCTCATTCAAGAAATAAAACAGAAGGCGTTTTCTCAAGTTTGGATTGGTCTAAATAATCTTCCGAGGCGGGATAACAAAAATTACCATTGGACAGACGGATCCTCTCTGGACACAAATATTGTGTAAGCATACAAAATTGCCTGATAAAAAAGTACACTTTACCGATATTATAACTAGTCCTTCAAATAAGACACCACAATATTGTGCTGTATTTGTTTCAATATTAATGTCAATACATGTATTTTGAAAAATCAAGAATTATCTTAAGATTTGTAAATCAGTTTAACTAGTGATATTTATAACAATATATTTAAGAATCTGCATAATCTTAATATTACAATAATTAGACCTTGGAAGAGTGGGAATCCGGACAACTATCTACAGATGGAACACTGTGGCGAGTTCTCTAACGCGGAACTCAACGATATAGACTGTAATTCCAAAATCAATTTCATCTGCGAGAAACCAAAGTGTAAGATTTGTGTGCAATTAATTGTTTTCCATCAAAGAATAAATATCTGATTTATGTTAAGGTATAAAACCTTTGACATCCTTTTTAAGTTCCGACTGAAAAAAAGTATGTGATGAAAAATAAAAGGTTTTTTTTCTCCAAGTTTGGACAAACCCAGCAACAGCCACCACCCAGGCACCACCAAATAGCCAGACTACCACAAACAGTGCTGGGTCCAGTCAAAGCTCAGGCTCTTCTATCACAGTTCTTTCTCCCACAAAGCCTACAACACTTAAACCATCCACTCGTAAGTTATCCATTTTCTAAAAGGTAAACCAAACACACGTCTGACTTTGTGAAGTTAACATAAATTATTTGATTTTTTTTCAATTTTTGCAGAAACCAAAGTTATTCCAACGTTACCCGGAGCTAAGGTTGTCAATGGAATAATGTATACAAGTAAGATTTTTTTTTCCGTGAAAACATTTTCTCCTCAAAGCATTATTATGCCCTCTTTGAGTGTTGAAACGCCCTTTCATTTGCAAAATTGCAAATTATCATTCATTCAGTGGCATTCTAAAAATACTTTTTTGTTAAATGCAAACTCATTAATGAGTGGGAAAGTTGTGCCAGTAACTGAAATTAGAGTAATAAAAATTATGTTATATCACGCATGGAAGAATGTTGCGTTATAATCACAGAAATTGAGCGCAATTTGAAATTTTATTTTTCACTGGTTATTATTTAATTACTGACATTAATCGAAGCATTACTGGTGGGTAACTACAAAAATAGTATATTCACGACTGTTTCAATTAATCAGTCAGTCAACTTATCAAGATATTGTAGATATTAAAAGGAAATATTTTTCAGCTGGTTGCGGTAGTAAGAATGACTGCTACAATCTCGGGATCGGGGATCACCAGTACTGCCAAGACTGCCATAGTTATTTGACATGCGCTCCTAGTGGTGTATTTGTCAGGCCATGTCCTGCCAATCTGGAATTCGACAATAACCTCCAAGCATGTGTAGCCAGGTCCTGGACATGCAAGAGAGTGGCAGGATAACTTTTAAAAAGTTGATTGTTTTTTTTGATGAACAGTTTTTGAGGCTGTGCTTCTGTGTTTTAAAATAAATAATCAATGTTTTGTATAATAACATTCCCCCTGCTAACAATCTCAAACGACTGTTTTTTTTATTTTGTGTTTATTGTAATTAATAAAAAAATAAATTGTTTTGGAAAAAAGAAATCGTTCCTTTTACTTTTTTTCTCAGTAAAGTAGCACTTTGACTATAGCAAAAGCAATAAATAAAATAATAATCCTTGATTTAGTCTCTGTTTGTGGCAAGTTTAATTGCAATTAGACAAAACCTGTAGTAAGAATAGCCTTTTTAAAGAATTTCACAGAATTTTGTGCTTAAGTAACCATGGCAACACCGTCTGTTAAATTCAAAAACTGACCTACTGAAATCAAACCAAAACTGTAGGAGGATTAGTATTTTGAAAGAAATTCATAGATATTTCTATTTTTAGAAACCATGGCTTCATCATTCATCGAAATCAAAAAGGATGAACGGAATTATGTTTCTGAGCATAGTCTATTTTATTAAAAGGGTTTATTGGAATCAGGTCTGTAAGAAAAATAGCTTTTTTTGAAAGAATCGCGTAGAAATTTCTATTTTTAGTAAACATGGCAACACCGTTCATTAAAATCAAAAACTGATTTGGATTTTTATTAAAAAAAAAATGACCATCAAATTGAATTTTTTTTTTTTAAAATTCAACTATCCATAACATATTTTTCACATATACCATCATATTGTACATGCATTCTAGTTAAAATCCCCGAAGTTGCACTCCTGACTGCAGTAAAATTAAAAATTAAAACCACAAAATACAAAAATTCATAAAGTGTTGGCAACACCAAGTGATAACGAAAATGTGCAATATTTATCGTCCAACACTTCATAATGAAAACACATGAACATATTGAAACTTGGCTTTATATCTTGAATTATTCCCTATTTATGTCAAAATACTAGCTAAAATATATATTTAGAAGATAAAATTTATTTTATAGTATATTTTCCTTCACAGGACAAACACTGTAAGCAACTGAGGTCAACTAGAAACATTCTACTCATCACAATTTTTCTTTATATTTATTCATATTTGATCAGCAATAATTCTAACATATTTGTTGCACTCCTGACCAAGAGCATGGGAGTCTTTAAAGTAGAATTGTGGAGCAAAAATTATATCAGAACTTGTTCTGTTGTTTCAGTGAAGTTGAGGTGGAATTTTTTTTTAACTTTATAACAATTTTTCAGTGTTTATTTTTCACATTCTTTCAAAGAAAAGATAAAAACAATCCGAATTGATAAAAGTGAAAAAAGAAGGATTTTAATAATAAAACTGTCAATAATTTAGTACTAAATTATTCAAATAGATCATTATTAATTAAAGAATATTTCTTAGCACGAGTAGAAGTCTTTTCATCATATAACTTGAATCTTTAAAAAAATGTGTTGCACTCCTTACCATATAAATATAGATCTGAAACACAGACAGGCCCTGAAATTAATAAATCTATTTGGTAAAATGTTTTCTGTGTCTTTATTTTCCAAAATAAAAACAAGAGAATCATATACTGATAAAAGTTTTTTTTATGCGGGGGAACAAAACATCAAATGCTGCACTCCTGACATTATTGGGTATGCACAGATACTTGACTCTCATTATTGCTGCTTGTGATTTAAAGAACATTTTTAAGTTTTAAATTGTATATCAGTTATTGTTTTACACTTTGAAAATAATTCTCTTTTGTCTTTCAGATTTTTAAAATTAATGTTTTTTTTTGGCAACACTACATTTTTTCTGTTGCACTTCTGACATGGTATAACATTTTTTCAACATCAGCCATGACCACAACTTGGTCAAACAAAAGTTGCTACAGTCTACATTTAAAGCCCAATACTTTGGATATTATCAGGAAAGTCTGTATTTCTACAATAAACCATTATTATTTATTTCACAGATCTTTAAAATATATTGAATTTTCAAAATGTCACAAAAAGGTGTTGCACTCCTGACATTTTATGCATAATTTTTGGGCATAACTTTTTAGTGAATTGAGATATCAATATTGAGATATCAATGAGATATTTGGCAGGTATTTAGAAATCATCTAAAGACATATGCTGAGACATAGATATTTATTCCCATTGCCTGTACTTTTAGTACAGGTTGAAAAATATTGGTTTGGTCATTTTTTTTAATTCACCCATTCACAAACTGATACACAGAATTGTGTGTCTGAGTATACCTACTTGGGTAAAAGGTTTATTGACATCAAAATAAAACTGTAGGAAAATTGTAGCTTTTTGAAGTAGAGAAGTCTAATTGTGTTCCCTTGTGAAGTATGTTATTAAACTGTCCAGTTTCAAAGTTATTCCTTCATAAAAGGAGGAAAGTAAAAACAAAATTAACTTGAAAAATTCAAGTGTTTGTACATAGATCTCAATTTAAAACCAATGATTCTATATTCAATAATTTTCTGCTAAGATTAAAATGAAGAATCACACGAATATTTAACTCCTCTACCAGGAATCATTTCAGGCCTCAAGAAGAATTAAAAGGGGAAACTTTTCATAAGAATTGATATGCAAATATCGCTATGTAGAGTAAAGTTAATTTTGTTCATATTATTTTGAAGCTGGTGTTTGTATAGTAGGTAAAAGTCAAAGGTTTTATGAAAAAACTTTGTTCTGTATTTTGTCGAGATTTGAAAAAGTTAGTTTTAATACGTATCTTGTATATGTGTTGTAGATTCAAGTGCATTCAAACTTAATATACCCGAAATTCTATTTTGAAAAATCCAACAATTATCAGATTCTCTGGGCTACATGTAGATTTAGAATTTCCGTATAGAGTGTGTTTAGGTAAATTTATCAAGCTAAAGGATTAATGCATTTTTTAGTTTTCAATACAGAGCTCATTAAAAAAGGCATGTTTAGCACAAGTTTGTATTTACTGCCACACGGTAAATACAAAATTTACAACAAGAGTAGCACGCCCCTTAAATCCGCCACCAATACGTTTCTCACACCTGCTAAATTTGGACAAAACCTTGAATACAGGTGAATATGGTAGTACTGTAGTCACTTAATTATGAACTTATGTGCATAATTTTATATTTCTATTCATCATTATAAAACAGTTTGTTTTTGTAAATATAACCATAGGGTTAAACTGATGTAATATCTGTTCCGAATGTCTACTTGTTCTAAATTTTATTCTTATCAAAGTTTAAATGCCTGATCTACATGTATAAATCTATGTCTATCTAGGTTATTGTGAGTTTATTTTCCGTTAAATATTTCAGACATCATGGAAGTGATACAGAATTTTGTGAAAACCCACTCTAAAGAGATAGGCGTGGCTGCTGCTGTTGGTATATCTCTTGTAATAGTCATTAAGAGGCGAAAGAAGCGAGCCAAGTAAGTATTAAAAAATAATTCCCTTCAAAGCAACACACGCATACAAACACACGTGTAATTTTTACTTACAGTGTAAAAAAAAAAAGAAACTATAAAATAATTCTTAATTAATTTGAGCAATTGGACCACGAGAGGGAAAAGTTCATTTCTGTTTGTCATTGTGACAAAATAAAATATCAGGTTTCATATCGGACTTTAAGATAACTAAATCAGTGTGTGTTTGTTTAAGGTAACATTTTCTACATTGTACAATCTATTTTTATAGGAGAGTTTACCCACCAAATACGGTTGTCCATCACCAGATGGGAAGGGGTGCTTACGCACCAAGTTTGTCGCCATTTTGTCTAAAGTTAGAAACCTATCTACGAATGGCAAAAGTCCCTTTCATGGTACATATACAAAAGAGTATACATATATATATTTTAGATTAATACAAATCTGCTAATATTACACATTGTTAATAAGTTTGAACATGCAAAAGTTTATCAGATAAGGGTTCACCACTTGAACAAGAGTGTTCCAAGGAGCGCATGTGGCGTCTGCTATGATATCATTAAAAACCTAGTGAAGCTAAATGGTGGTCATTTCTTTCATTGCATACCAGCTTTATGAAAAAAGGTAAAGATAATGAAAAGTGAACAGGGTATAAAACACGGACCCCAGAAATTCCAGAGGTGGGATCAGGTGCCTAGGAGGATTAGGCATCTCCTGTCGACCGGTCACAGGCTCCGTGAGCCCCATACATTGACCAGGCACACGGAATATTCCGAAATCAAATTTAGTATAAAAAACAAAGGTCTGGCATTCGGTATCAAATACGTCAGCCAAAATACGACCCGGTGATAGGTTATATCTGCTAACAAGGTCATTATAACGATCATAGAATATAAGAAATGCTGACTTTAAGCGAGGTTGTTGAAATCCCTGTCACATCAATAAGTTGGGTGACGTAAACACCATATGCAGGTTCATGCAAAAAAAATAAATACATAAATAAATAAATAAAAACAAAAAAACAAAAAACAAAAAACAAATTTTTTTTCTAAGAATTGTAAGTCTGCAATAGATATCATTTATCACAAAGGAAGTCAAATGTTAAATGAATGATTAAACTGAGTTAATTGTCAATAATTACTTATTCATACGTATTTGATTCAAAGATCCCCCAGATTCCATCTAAAAACGTTCGTCTTTTGCCCCAGACGTCAGCCCATATTTTTGCTGGAAATACGAGCACAAGTCGCTAACCGATCAAGAAGGAATGCAACAGTTTGTGTAGTTAATGTTTGAAAATAAAAGGTCACGAGGTCATAAACATGTACTATATTCTTACCAAAGCCTTTACTCTCAAAATTGAAAAGACGTACCTGTAAGTTATATTAACAATATTGAGTATTCTTGAATAGAAGGTCAAAGATCAATTTGAATTTTCAAAAGTCTTATGACAAATAGTGCACAAGATAAATAGCACATACATGTACTTACCTCTTATAGGTCAAAGGATATGCTGTTTATTGGCAATATAAACAATTTTGAAAAACAGTACAAAGGTCAAGTTCAAAGGTAACGAGATTGGCAATACTGGTACAAAAGCCATGTGCAAAATATGAAATCCATATCTTTAACACTTCTCAAGATATAGGGTGTGACAGACGGACAGACAGACAGACAGAAGCCGGGTAAAATAATCCCTAAGTGTCGCTCTACTCTGCAAGCTGCTATGAGCTCGACTCGCTTGACTCTTATTATGTCAAAAGTAAAACTTACTTCCATACCTTTTCATAGCTTCAATTTATCTTTTACAATACTAATATTTCATATTACTTTTCAAGAATGTTCATGACAGTATCACCAATAGAAGTTCTAAAGGAAAAGTGACCTGGATAGAATATAACGGGGAAGAAGTAGCAGACTCGGAGTTTTGTATCCAGTTTATAAATCAGAAATTTAATGTTGACCTGGATAAAGATTTCTCTGAGGAAGACCAAGCAGCAGCATTAGCTATACAGAGAATGGTGGACGAGCACCTGTTTTGGTGAGATCTTAAATAATCTTTACTATTTGATTACACATGGGTCAATATTTGCTCCATTATTTCAAAAATACATACGCCTAAATATGGCTGAAATATTGCCGACTCAGCGTCAAACAATAACCATAGGCACTCCCCAGCTTAATTGTTAAAAAAATATATATCTACTATACTATAATATAAACATAACGTTATGTTTATATTATAGTATAGTAGATATATATTTTTTAACAATTAAGCTGGAGAGTGCCTATGACAATAACAATCAATCAATCAAATCAAAAATACACCTTTAAAGACAAAATATAAAAAAGGTGAACCATAAGTTAAATGCATGACTTGAACTTACTTTCATTGTTTCAGTCTGATAAAGAGAACATTGAACCATGTAACCATTCAGATATATACATGTATATGTAAAAGGATCGTGACATGGCGCTTGAGAGAGTCATGTATCCAAATAATCTGTAACATTATAGAACAGAAAAAAAGCAAGAGAATTAAACGTTGAGACCCAAACCTTGTCATCAATCACCTCTTTTAAACTTTGTATCACTCTGTTGGTATGGGGGTCATTTTTCAACGGGGGTCAATTTCTTATACGTTGCACATGTAGAAAACTGACCCCTGGGATTCTTTTTCTACAAAAAATTACTTTTTTCTGCGGATGTGAGGTCATTTTTTATCGTCGACCCCCGGTCATTTTTCTACGGGGATCATTATTCGTCTTTACAACCTCCACCCAGTAAATTCAAAATTCACATGATATATGATTTACGATGATCATTTTCTATCTGTTTCGACAATTCTTAAAAAATTATGAAATTCTGTATTCTCAACTTAAATAATGGATCCATGCAGTTGTTTAGTCCAACCAAAATATTCTTTCATTCTTTAACTTGATCTCCATAAGTCATTGTTTGAGGAAATGTATGTCTGATGTTGCAGGACAGTGGCATTACAGCGTTGGGTTTATGATCCTACCGATGGAATCGACCCAAGAAAAACACTAAATTTTTCCTGGTTTACTTGTCACATGATAAATAAACTGATCAAAAGGCAGACTTATGCGCAGGGAGTGGGCAGACATACAAAGGAAGAAGTTCACCATGTGATGGACGAGGATTTACAGGCCCTGTCAAAGTTTCTAGGTATTACTGGAAAAAAAAAAGAAATCATCACTGTTAATATCATTATGTATTCTTTTTTAAATCAATCTTCATTAGCTCCCTGTAAGTGAATATCAAGTTTAGTTTCAAGTTTCATAGGAATCAGATCATATTTACTAACAGAAATTCAATAAAAATCTATTTTAGGATTTTTATTTTTTGGGGATAAAATTTGAAATATAGATATTTAAAGCCTTTTCAATGGAATTAAAATCCTTAATTACTTAAAAATAGATTTTAAAAAATGCATTAGAAGATTGAATTTTAATGCATTTAATTGCTATATAAAGTATATATTAATACAAACAAATTTGTGTTTATAGGATTCCACATTTTTTTCAAAGGTAGTCATTTTGGCTTTATGTCAGATAATATTCAGCATATCCACTCAAGTAATAATAATATTCATATATACATTACGCTCATTACATAATTTTAGGAGACCTACATGTATACATACATGTACGTGGTAGTTTCCTCGTTAATGAATAATGTATAATAATAAATTATAAAGTATTATAATTATAGTATCGTAATATATATATATATATATATATATATATATATATATATATATATATATATATATATATATATATATATATATATATATATATATATATATATATATATAACAAAATTTAAATACTTTTAATGAATTTTTTGCTTGAATTCAAAATTGGTTTTCCCTTCTGCAGGAAAAAAGAAATTTTTATTGGGGGAGAAAACTTGCCAAGCAGACAGTGCAGTGTTTGGAATGTTGGCACAGATGTACTTCAATGGCTGTGGGGGTTATGGGGAGAAAGCCATTAAAAGTAAAAGAATCAAACCTCCGGAATATAAAGCCCATACAATAGGAATGATGTATATAAAGTTATTAAAATGAATACATGTACAGTGTAGAAATATGCAAAAGCAAATATTAATTTGAAATAGTGCTTGATTTTAAGTGCAACATGACCTATCAACCCCTTTCTTGCCAAAACTTAATTTATCAGAGTCATTAACATAAATTTGAATTTTTTGATGAAATAAGAAAAAAAATCCTTCACTTTTTTTTATACATATATTTTAAATAATTAAGTTCAAAATATTATTGGTTTACAGAGTATCCAAATTTGTGTGAATATTGTGAAAGGATGAAAGAAACATTTTGGCCAGACTGGGATGACTGTATTACCCACGGATGGACAAAGGAAGCCACTAAATAAAGCTATCAATATAAACACAAACAGTGTAATGCCGCAGTGACGATGAGAACTTCTTTTCTTCTTGTTGGCATCTTAACACGAACTACATGAGAATCATAAATTATTTGGCTTGTAAAGCTCCATCAAATATTAAAAATATCAATTTGTTGACATTCTATTCATCCTCTGATACTTGTATTAGTTGCAATTTTTTTAAAAAAAAATACATTGTAGTAGAAATTCCTTTGATCAAATTAATAATATGCAAATTAGTTATCAATCAGTTGCTTCCTGTTGTTGTATCAAACGTTTTAGTTACCAAAACAAAAGGATGACGCAGCGTCTTTGGATAGGCGAGCGTTGATGCTCGAGCTAGTCTGTATAACGAAGAAAAGAGACCCCCATAGCAAATTGACCGCGGATCATTTTCTACGTAGAAATTTGATCTCCTGGTCAATATTTTACGTAGAGAAATGACCCACATTATTTTTTAAAGAAATTATGGCCTTAGGGCCATTTTTCTCCAAGTGGATTGTAAAAAAATGACCCTGTAGAATAATGACCCTGTGTCATTTTGTGATACAAACTGCATGGTTTTGGTAGGAAAATTCTTGTTAGGCAAATATATGGGGTTAAATCACGCAGCCTTATGATGTGAAGTGTTCATTTCTAAAAGCTTTAAAGTTTAAATGACAAAATTAAAAGGTTATACTTTACATTAATAATACAAGATAAACTTTAAACAGTATTAAAAAAAGATTTGTTTTATCACATTTAATTAAAAAAAGTTTCTACAGTAGTAATTATTTAAAAAATCAAGCTCATTTTCTTAGCTGGTGTAAGAGAGAGAAACATATATAAACTAGAGCAGAGCTCGTTGCAAAGCAACGAGTAGGTCTTCCGTTGGAGCTGCGAACAGGAAGAAGTGACCTTGAGTCAAGGTCATGCCACATTCTAAGGTTATAAGCAATCTTGTAAGGGGTATCAACTTGCAATGTCTCACCAGTAGAAAGACAGTTAAGGAATGTTGTTTCTTCGTTGATGACCTTGAACTCGTTCAAATGACCTTGCATCAAACCATGACACACTCTGGTTATAAGAAAACCCCATCTATGTGTTACCGACTCGACAAGTTAACACATGTTCTTTCAGACCATTCATCCAGTCAAAACATTCTTTCCTTAGTGACCCTAAATTTAATCAACATGGCCGTAGGAACCGAGGGGGGCGTGCCCCCCAATAATTTTGCCGATATATAGATTACTATAGTAGACATAGATACTATAGCTTGTGCCACCTCAATAAAAACGTCTGATAACCTTCTTCTTTTTTTTTTTTTTTTTTTTTTTTTGCTTGTCAAGGAATTTTTGGTAGTTGGTGACCTTTTTTTTTTTTTGCTTGTCAGGAAATTTATGGTAGTAGTGCTCCCTCAACTGTCAACTGAAAATGTATGGCTCCCCCCCCCCCCCAAAAAAAAAAAAACTGAATTTGCTTCCTATGGGCCTGATCAAGGCAATGATACACTCTGTATGATATCAGCGATACCCTTTTGTGTGTTTCGGACTTGACAAGTTCACAGTTTGCATTTATTGCATGATAGTGAGGGAGACATGAAGATTTCTTCGCCCATAAAAAATCAAATTCCGCGAGGGCAACATGGAGATTTCTTCGCCCATGAAAAATCATACTCCCCGAAGGCAACGCCCGAGGGAAATATGATTTTTCATTTGCGAAGAAATCTTTATGTCTCTATTATGCAATAAATTGTTTATAATACCGAATTAACCAAAATGCAGGAATTACAAAGGAGATCCAATGAATAAAGCAAACATGCATTTGATGAGAACGATATGAAAGAGATGTAAGTTACAGGTACACCAACAGCCTCGTTTCATTAAAAAAAAATTCCTACGTGACAAGTTTGTGTGATCACACCAGTAACATTCAAACACCATTACATTTTTACACATTTAAATCGACACAATCAATCAACGATAATATGTTGACGGTGCGACCGTTGGGCGAGTGCATTGTTCACTTAATTTTAAGATCCGCCTCTTCAAACAGCACGAGACATTTGGAACGTCTAGACTGTGACGTCTCATGACGTATGTTAGCTGTACTTCCATAAACGAATTTTGAAAAGTGCAAACATTTTAACAAAGAATGTTTAATCTACTATCTGTATGCAATTCCATTAATTAAGGTGATTTTTTGAGGTGAATTTTTAGTTGTTGTTACCGCGCGAACGAAGTTAGCAGCGTCGCTATAAACAATCTAACTCCTCACTCGTTTAATTGTGACGTCACAATCGTGAAACACGACGTTTTGTTGTAGGGCAAACATGATGGACACGTGACTTTCTCGGCCAATCAAATTCTATTTTACTAGTGATTTTTCACTTGTAAGCTAGTTTTCACAGAGGTATAATAAACGTTTTTTTAGACCATACATCGAAATAAATTATCATAATTTCTATAGTCGTAATTTATTAGGTTCAACTCACTGCTTTAAAGGATCATTGTAAATGTTTTATGCCCGATTTGGATACTGAACAACGTGTGATTTTTGAAACACTGATGCCCCCATATGGCATCTTATGGCAAAAGTTAAAGTTTCTCAAATGCAAGTCAAACTCCATGGTCAAGATCAAAAGATAAAAAAAATGTTATTACCCAAATAAAGGTCTTGAACAAAGAATATACTGTGAAATATATACTAGTATGAAAGCCACAGCAGCAACAGTTTAAAAGTTATTGCCAAGGTTAATTTCTTTAAAAGGTCAAACTCCAAGGTCAAGGGATCATAATTGTTTGTACTTGAGGGAAGGTCTTAATTGTTACAAGGAATACACATATGGTTTTAAAAAAGCCTTAGCACCAACTGTTCAAAAGTTAAAACCAAGGTTAAAGTTTTTCAAAAGTAGGACATACTCAAAAGGTCAAGGTAAAATGGTCAAAATTAAAGGTATACAATGACAGGCCTTGTCACAAGAAAATTACCTATGTAATATAAAAGCCCTAGTACTAGTCATTCAAAAGTTATTGTCAAGGCTAAAGTTGTTTAAAAGTTGGTCAAACTCCAAGATCAAGGTCAAATGGTCAAACATATTTATACCCAAGGAGGAGACTTATCACAAGGGATACAGATGTGAAGTATAAAAGCCATAGCACCAACTGTTCAAAAGTTTTGGCCAAGGTTATAGTTTGGTAAAATTTTACGAAAGAGGATCAAACTCCAAGTTCAAGGTCAAGAGGTCAAATATGTTGGTACCTGAAGGAAGTCCTTGTTACTAGGAATACACATAAGAAATATGAAAGCAGTAGTTCCAACCAATCAAATTTTATGGGCATAGTTTTTTGCGGACAAAGAGGCTAACACAGTCTAACAGACAAATAGACAGGTGGACAGGACAAAAACTGTATGCCCCCCGGATCTTCGATTACAGTAGCATAAAAAAAAATGTCGGCGTCTTTGGGTTTTCGCATTGGCCTTAAATCTGAAAATCCAAAGGATTACAAGGTGCATTACGATACGCTTTCACATCATGTTCTATAACCCAGAGCATATTGTCTGCAAAGATAAATATTTAATTCCGTATTTAATTAGCTATGCATAATTATTTATGTTGTTTTAAAAAGAAAATATAAAAAAAATATTTGTTTTATATTTTTCGATGTAGAGATATGCAGAAAATGTTTTCCTATTTTAAGTCCTATCGCAATACATATTTAAAAGAAAGTGTGTGTTGGAGGGGGGGGGGGGGTCATTACATTTTTGCTGGGATTCGCCTATGTATGACCGTAGAGAAACAAAGAGTGGGGAGGGTGCAAGCAGCAACTAAATCAAAATTTACATATTAAAACTACAGCAAAAGACTATTTTCAGAAGGTCTGCCCCCCCCCCCCCCCCGTACAATCCGTACAACGGACCTGTGAAAAAAATACTGATCCTACATTCAGAGTCCCAGGGCACCAGGAAAGAGTGGCAAAAAGAGAATATCGGTTTATTTCAGTCTATAAGTCGAATCAAAATATCTTTTCCTCAAGAGTCTTCTTTCTTTGAGTTCATCCAAGTGATCGTGTGATTTATTTCATTTATTTTACGTTCTGTACTGGACTTGGAAAATGAGGACATCTTTAGGTTCCTGAGCTGGCCTTGAAGCCCGCAGAACAGATTTTCTGCTTTATGATAAATTCAAGTGATATGTAATCCGGTATTAATTTTGTGTTGCTTTTTTTAATGTTAATTTCATCAAGAAATATGAAAAATTAATGTTTTAACTATACACAGTGAGGCATTTTTTGTGTGGAACGATTATCAAATGGGGTTTTCACGATTTTTTCATATGGTACACATGATGAGTAAGTGCAATAAATATAATTTGTGGAAAAAAATGTCCAACAAGCCCCGGGGTTGAATATCGGGGGGGGGGGGGTCTGTCCACAAGTACCTTTTGTCAAGCCCGTAGAAAGCAATTTCAGTTTTTTTGGAGGGAGTGGGGCAAATAGAAATTTCCACAGGCACTTGTACTCGATTTTTTCCTATGGTACACATGATGAATAAGTGAAATAAATATAATTTGTGGAAAAAAATGTCCAACAAACATCGGGGTTGAATTTGGGGGGGGGGGGGTCCTGTCCACAAGTACCTGTGGAAATTTCTTGATACATAAACAGAATTTAAAAGCATGTATAAGACATCAATTGAAGGGGAGAGGGCACGGCCGTAATTAAAAGTTATATAGAGACTAGGAAGGAATGAACTGTCATTAAATTTTGGTTAAGAACTATTACCTAAACTCTTCACTTTCACATTTTCAATTACAGATTCTTGTTTTTAAAAAGCTACACATGTACATTGATATGTATCTATTAGATGCATAAATTATGTTATTAATCATTTTATCTTAAAGGAAAAGTAAAAATCTCAATCAAACTTGTTCCGCATATTATGCTCTCTGATTCATTACTCAACAGATGCTTCATATACATAGACTGCAGACTGCAGGTGTGATAAATTCACAGCATGCAGCTCCAGCCTTAATTCCAACTTTGTTCCAAAATATTATTATTCAACGCGAAAAATTAGAATTAGCCGATAGAATATTTTGAATCACTTCGGAAATGCTGCCGTAACACCAGACTGAGTTCACAATATCGAGTGATTTTGATTGACAGGTGTAGCGCCGT